CTTTAATATACTCCTCCGATCCTAAATATAAGACCCTTATACCAGTGTGTGTAAGGGTCTTGTATTTAGGATTGGAGGAATAAGACATATTTAACTAATTTGATTATATTAAGAAAGTTGGGTAAGTTAGTTAATTATAAAAAATATGACATGTTTTTTCAAAAACACCATAATCATCTTTCTTAATATTCTCCCTCCCTCACTTACTTGATTATGGTTAAGAGAGTTTCTATAAAGGTAATTTTTTAAAAAAATCGATAAATATGTCTTATATTTAGGACCAAAATTAACTTAACAATTAGGTCATATATTAAAGACCAGAAAAGTGGTATTTAGTGTAAGAAACTACTTAGTATATAAGATTAGACAAATCTTAATATTATATAGATGTGGGATTGAGGAATACTGCCTCCCCCATGATATTTCCCAACCTGACAATATGAATTTAGCCAATCTCATGTAACAAACAATCTGTCGCGATAAACACTTTTTTAATAGATTTTCTCAATTTTAATCTCAATCATTATTTCTAATTTTCAGTACTTTGTACCAAACACAACATTAGTGTCGTGGGAATTTTTCGTGATTAATAATTTAGGCAGGATATTTGTGTTATTACCACATTTTTGCAAAACAAGTGGCTGCATTTAAACCCAAAAAAAAAGAAGGGAAGAAAGACTGGCCACATCCACCCTTCAACACGGGCCGCCTTCCACATTCTCATGTCACTGGGACTCTGAAAGGATTTTTTTTTTTTCTATGCGTAAGAGTCTCCTTATGGAAGGTAATCATATTTGCGATACTATTAATTATTGAACATGGACAATTCTTTGATTGAGAACTCGAAAGGAAACTCTGTAAAAGAAAAATAAGGACAAAACGTTAATTAAGGCTGCGCAACAAGATTGTCTGGGACATTGAGCCCAGCCTTATCCTAGTTCAATGTTTAGTTTGAAAAACACAGTGGACCAGATTCTGGGGCCCAGTGCCCGGCCCGGTTCAGCCGAACTTGGTCTCATGACCGAGTCAGCCTCTTTTAATGCCCCTGCCCGGATGGAACACTAAAATAAGTAAATAACTGTTGCACGGTCTTTATTACCGTTGAGAATAATTTTTTTAAAAAAAAAGGGTCAAAACATGGTTTTAAATAAAACCAACGTGTTTCCAGACAAGTTTATTAAATTTCGAGTCAGTTTTTGAGAAAGAAAAAACTTGGGATTGCTTGCTTAATCACTTGCTTAAAAGTTAAAATGTATCCAGCAGACATATTTTTTTGTAATACTCAATACCAGAACTAATTTGTTCTTCATCAAACGCTCTAAATTATTTTTTTAGTAGTATGCACTCTCTAAAATTATTTTTGTGTAATTTTATTTTTAAATTATTTTTCTCAGCAATAATAAGTATCCTAAACTAAGATACTTAGTGTTATGAAAAAATATTTTAAAATATTAGATGCATTTAAAATTATTTTTAAAAAACACACATGCTTCAATTCGTTGGGAGCGTGACTATTTTCAGATATATTACATCCGGTTCTTGAACGAATTATGTTAATAACGAGATACTAGCACATGCACACGTTTTTTCCTCTATAAACCCTGTCTTTAATATAATTGCCTAATTTGAAGAAATTAAAAAAATTAGTTGAGTTAGTTATTTATAATAAATAAGTGCTATCTTTTGTAAAATATTCTTACTAATTATTTATACTAACTAAAACTATTATTTGATTGAACTTTTAATATATGTAACTATTGCGAGGACTATTTTAAAAAAAATAGATAAATATAAAAGATAAAATAAATTAAAATTTTATATTAAAAATTAAATTAAAAATCAAACTACTTTTTATATTAAGTACTGGAAGTAACATATCACAATTACCATATGGCTTTGAACAAATGTTAAAGATAAAATACATTAGGATTGGAAAGGGTTTAATTGCTCAAAGTCAAATGAAGCATGGATGGTTTTTCGCCAACTGAGCACGGAAGCAAATTTTGAATTTATTTTCCCGCTGTAAAGTTATAATCTTATACAGCGGAATCCTGCACCTCTTTTCCAACATCATCATCTTACTTCCTTCCTAACTGATCAACGGTTCAAAATTTATCTACACCGTCACATCTTACTTCTCCGTGCATTTATTTTGGCTTCCCCGTTTGCCCCCGGCTTTATTGCGTTGCCTTTGTTGTATGGCTCCTGTTGGTTGCCGCTCTGTTCTTTTTCCAACTTTGTACTGAGTTTCTGGCATTTCAAAAAAAAAAACAAGTCACCTTCTGAAGGTTACGGCCTTATGGACATGTTTGGCAAATGGTCAAAATTATGGTTTGAGTGAAAAATTTACCAAATAGGGGAAAAATCAACAAACTACAATTTTGGGCTCAAAATCAGATTTCAGAAGAAGTGAATCCGTTCTACTTCTGGCTCAAATTAGAGAGTATGATTGTGCTTATCAGAATAGGTCTCAACGGTAATATGACTTTAACACCCTTCAATTATTTTTCTATAAATATATTTAGTCTTATATTTTATAAATTTATATACGCATATATTAATTATTTATTAATTATATTATTTTATATATTATTAATTATGTTAGTAAAAAATATATTATTAACAATTTTATTCTTTCAAATTAAAATATATTATAAAATCTATCTTTTATGTAATTATCATATTAACTTATGTCATTTTTAGTAATTTGCATAGATAAAAAGTGTTTCTGATAATAACTATCCAAATATTCTCACTTTATTAGAATCACTTTTTTACAAATCTAGTCTCCCAAAATCTATTTTCCAGAAGCGATTCTCCAAATCATGGTTTGGTTTAATCCAAACACCTCTGATGTGCGATTATTTTTTGTTAGTTTTTTCAAATTTTTTTTACATAGCTTATTTGATTAATTTCAATAAATTTTTTATGGGATTAGGTGCTTAAATATCTCAAAAGTATCCAGGAATGAATATCCAGCATCTAAAAGTTTCTTTTGGCTCTTATATGCTTTCAAAGTTTTATTCTTGTAGCAAAGATACCTTACTGTTATCTGCTGTTAAATTTGACCGTTAAATTATACAATTTGATTGGTATCTTAATAGTCAAATTTAATGACAGATAACAGTTAAAAGCAAAAATACCACAAAATAAAACTTTTAGGATAAGAGCAAAAAAAAAAAAAAAAGCTGAACGTTCTTTTGTGGACATTTTCAAAATATTTTAGCACCTTATCTTTTTTTATTTCTCTAATCGTTATCCACTGATCTAATCTACATGGGATTTAAATTTAAATTTTGGAGAGATGAATGTAACACTTGAAAAACATTCTAATTATTTTTTGGCCCAAAAAAAAAGATTAAAGAGTTAAGATGCATTCAATACTTTAACATATTTTTTAGGTACATTTAACACTTTAAAATATTTTTCATGTACATCCAGTATCCTGAATATTTTTTTGTCTTGATATTGGATGCACAAAAAAATATTTCAAGGTTCTAGGAGCAGTTAAAAAAATATTTCAACATGTTGGATGCATAACAAAATATTTTAAAATACTAAATGCACCTAAAAATTTTTTTTGGGTGCTGGATACCCCTTATCCTACTAATATTTCGAAAAAACTAATGACTCGTGGTTTTTATGGTTCTGCTGGACGATGGAACTGGTTTATAATAATTAAATTAAAAATATTTCGTGTGTGTGTGAATAAAACTTTTATCAACTTATCAATGTAGGATGTCAAGCTGCTTATGGACCAAGCTTTTCAATCCTACTTGTTATGTGGCTGTTGTTAGTTATTAAATGTGTATGCACACTTGTAAATTCACTAATAAGCGCTTATATATTTTGTATAGACTCCTGTAACATAAATTATGATTTGTAAATTTTCATATAGATAGATATTATTTTATTATTTTTATCTGTTAAAATGCCTAATTGTGTTTGTTAATTTACATATAAAATATAAATATTTGTTCATTTGTTATTATTAGTTGTTAAGATACATATGCGCACGTCTAAAATTTACTCGTGATCTCGTTACAGTGAATATAAACAATACAATGTATGCAGAAGTCTATTCTAGCCATACATCTATTATCAAATGTAGGGTCGGAATAGTTATCAAGCGAACTAATGAATGTCTTTTAATGTTATCCACAACATCTAATATACATAATGAATCATTTAATTCATGTGCGTTTCCTTCAGCTTAGACGTAGATAACATTATTTTTAGTTTTAATTATAAGATCTCGTTTATAAATTATAAAGGGTTATTTAATCTGGAAGTCTTTATATTTTTAACCAATTTTGAATTAGGTCCTTATAGTTTTTTTTCTTTTTATCAGGTCCTTATACTTTCATCTATTTTTAATTAGATCCTCATATTTATTTTTCTTTTTATTAAGTCCTTATAATTTCACTAAAATTTTAATTAGGTCCATCTAGTTTTAATTTTTATTTATTAATTAAATATGAACTTAATTAAATAAATTAGTACTGAAATATAAAATATTAATAATTATAAATAAAAGATAAGTAATATAATTAATTAATTAAGGAAATTTTTTTAAAACAATTAATTTTTTTTGCTAAAAAAATAAAATTATTATAATAATTCATTATTTTTAGAATATTATTGTTTATAAACTAATATTACATAATATATACTATTTTATGTTTATAAAATAGTACTATTAGAATTTATAAAATAAAGAATAAAAAATTCAGGGACTTGCTTTAAAATAAGGTGATCTTATAAGGACTTGATAAAAAAGAAAAATAAATGCAAGGACCTAATTAAAAATAGGTGAAAGTATAAGGATCTGATAAAAGAAAAAAATTATAGGGACCTGATTCAAAATTGGTTGAAACTATAAGGACTTGCAGATTAATTATCCCAATTATAAATAAAGTACTACTTCCAGTTCTAATTACAAGAGCTAATTGACTAATTTGAGAAAACTATAAGAAGAAGTTAAGTTAGTTATTTGTAATAAATAGATGTTATCTTTTCTAAAATATCCTTATTAATCAAGTATATTTATCAGAACTATTATTGTTAGAAGGATTATATTGGAAAAGAATACATAAATATGAGAGACAAAGTGGATTAAGATGTTATATTTATAATCAAAATAAAAATCAAACAAGATTTTATATTAAAAACCGGAAGTAGTATTATAATTAGAATAAGAGGTAATACGTCAAATGCAAATGACAAGTTGAATATATTCAATACCTGTACAAATTTTTTCTACATCTCTCATTCATTTTCCTCCCGCTTTTGGAACATGTCCAAGACCGCGTTCTGGTTTTCATCTCCCCTCCCTAACACTAAAACGAATAAGCAGGGCAAGAGGAGCTGGAGCAAGACGCAATGGAGGCGTGAACCACATGGACACAGAATGCGATAGCGAAACGCACACAAGACACAATCCAGGCCCAATGGTGACGGGGGCAGAGCAAAACAAGAGGTGAGAGACATAAAAATTAGGGCAAAAAGTTTTTTTTTATTTTTTATAAAGGCGCAAAATCAGAGTATTTTTAATTTGGCAAAACACCATGCTTGGACTTCTTTTTAAAATAATTTGTCAAAATTATATGGACGGGTTACTTGTTGATTCTATTCATTACTTACCCCTGAAATGGTATGTAGACATCCACGGGCCCATTTTATTTTCGTAATTAAAGTTTTTTCTTGTTTTTACTTTCTATGATTCACAAGCAATATATCTTGTTAAATTGCATTGGCTGAGATAGAACACTAACGATGTCAGATTATATAATCCACTCTCTCTGTCCTTATATAAGATTTAATTAGGGAGTTAATATTGATTTTATATGTAATCTTCTGGTTCTTAATATATGACCTAATTGTTGAGTTGATTTTAGTAATAAATATAAGATCTATTTATTATATTTATGAATTTTTTTTCTAAATCACTCCTATTAATACTTCTTCAAGCATAATCAAGTAAAAGATGGATGAAGGATATTAAATAAGATGATTATGATGTTTTAGGAAAAACATGTTATATTTTTTATAATTAACTGACTTACCTAACTTCTTTAATTTAATCAAATTAGTTAAAAAGGCTTATATTAAGGGCATGAGGAGTAACATCTATTTCACATGCTCATCATTTTTTTTCCTTCAAATTAACCCTATTCATATTCTCTCAGCAAGGATTAAGTATAAGAAGGAGAGAGGGAATTAAGAAAAATGCTTAGAATATTTTAGAAAAAAACCTATCACATTAACTAATTTAACTAATATTTTAATCTATTTAGGGTGTGTTTGGATGACTTCAAACCGTGGTTTGGAAAAGTGATTCTGGAGAATAGATTCTGTGGAGAATAGATTCTGAGAAAAAGTGATTCTGAGAAGTGAGAGTGTTTGGATAGTTATTACCAGAAGTGCTTTTTACATGTGGAAATTACCAAAAAGGGTATAAGTTAATATGATAATTATATAAGGGATAGATTTTATGATTTATTTTGATTTGAAGAAATAAAATTGTTAATGAAATAATTTTTACTAACATAATTAATAATATATAAGATAATATAATTAATACATAATTAATATGTGTACATATATTTATAAAACATAATATTAAATATGTTTATAGAAAAATGATTTTTTTATAACAGAAAAATATTAATTTTGTTTAAAGATTGTAAACGTGAAATCCCATAACATTTTTTCACAACTACTTTTTGTAATAACATACTACATGTATAATAACCTCTGATGTTTAATACAATTAATTAATTAATTATTCAAGTAAGTAATAATTAGCTTGAGAATATAAGGCATAATATTAATAAGAGAAATATAAATAAAGAAGTGTCATAATCATTAAGATGATGCATCGATACAAAGCATTTGTAATAGGTTTTGTTTTTAACTACATATTACAATCTATGATAAAGGAAATAAATAAGACATGACTACTATCCTCGTATTGAATTAACAAGTTCGTCTCTTATGCTGTCACGAACCTGAGCCATGTAAGATGAAGATTGAATTGATGAATGTATACGTGAAAATCTAACCCCATCATCATCATCTTCTGCATAAGTACCTTCTTCTTCCAACTGAACGAATCCAGGATCAGTAATAGATGTCGTTCTAATAAAATTATGTATAGCCATCGTTGCACAAACGATTTTAACTTGTGTTTCAAAATCATAAGATGGCATGTTTTGTAAGATTGCGAACTTTTTTTTCCAAACTCCGAAAGTTCTTTCAATTGTACTCCTTAAACTTGAATGGAAATAATTAAAGATCTCATTGTCATTTTCAAACCCAGATGTCCTTCGAAAATCAGGCAAATGGTAACGCTCCCGTCTGTATGGGCCGAGATATCCATTCGGTGTTGGGTATCCAGCATCCACCAAATGGAAATAATTAAAGATCTCATTGTCATTTTCTTTGTTAAGCTAGTACCTTTTCTTTCCCCTTGTTGCACAAGTTCAATGCATAGGTCAATAAACACTTTCGTGGTTCGTAGGTCCCAGGAAGCTTTCACCGTATTCTTACCCATTATGCTATAGCACAATTACAACTTTTCAGTCATCACAGGTTAATCAACTCAAAATCAATTGAAATAACAAGTGTCATTGTTACCCAAATCAACTATGAATACCATATTAACATTTTTCTTTCCTTCATTTTTATTTGAAAAAAAAAAAAGAAATTCATTCTATGTTTTTATAACATGTAATTAATTTTTTTAATCCAACATAAAATGAAATTATGTTCCCATTCCTTTAATGACAAGAAAAAAAAATTAAATAAATTAAATTTGATTACCACAAATACAACATCCTATAATTTTGTTTAGAACAGGATTACAAAAAATAAAACATAAGGATTACAAATATATTTCTAAAAAAACTAGTCAAACTATATGAACCGAAAACTGATCCTCTGGCCCCGAAAGCAAAGACCATCCTTGAGAGTAGCACGATGTTTCGGTTTCAACAAAGGAAGCAAACCGAAATCAGATAAACCAAGCTACACAAATGAATCCATGAATGAAAATTAACCCACCACTGAAAGCAAAACGTCAGCCACAACTATCAATGAAGAAAAATCAGCACCAACCAAACACCTCAAGCCAGCACTGAAAAAAAAAATTCACTACAATCAGGCGACAAACCGTGATGCGACAAAAATTATAAATGTTGAACACTTTTGTTACCATGATTCAAACATTTAACACAAAGATTTGCATTTGGTATATTTGTGCATAAGATAAACATATCTCAGAACCAAAAAAAAAATCAGACATTATAAACCAACCGAAAATACCATATATCAGGCTCAAACCAACCGAATAATTTCTGTCATATGCCACGCATAAACCAACCTAATATTAATAAGCAAGATTACTAACATATTCAGATCAGAATTTATCCGAACGGACATTCAACGGGTCAAACTCTCATGGCAAGTTTCCAGCAAGCATCAACGACAAACGGCCGATTAAACAACATCTTCAAATCAGAATTTTTCCAGCAAGCATCAACGACAAACGGCCGATTAAACAACATCAATGTTCAAATCAGAATTTTTCCAGCAAGCATCAACGGCAAACGGCCGATTAAACAACATCAATGTTCAAATTAGAATTTTTCCATCAAGCATCAACGACAAACGATTCCTAAACCCAGCATCAACGATTCCGAACGGATAATTAACGGGTCAAACTCTCATGGCAAGTTCACGATTCCTAAACCCAGCAAGCATCAATGACAAACGATTTCTAAACCCAGCATCAACGATTTCGGTTTCATTGAAGGCAGAAGAAGACCCAGAACCAGAAGGTCCAGCTCGCAACACGCCGATTAATTTACAGAGCAAGAAACAAAGGCTATGGAGAAGAAGAAAATTGCGGATCTGAGCCACCTTACCTGAGCGACGGATCTGAGCCAGGGAACACCGACCACAGCCAAATGCTTCACACCGAACCTAAGCGCCAGAAATAGCTGCAATCTTCTTCAACCATGGAGCTGCGATTTCTCTCACCGGCGGCGACTTCTTCAAACCGTGGCTAGACAGCGACTTCTTCACCGGCGGCGACTGGTTCTGTGAAGGAGGAGACGAAGACCGTGGACTCGACTGTGAAGGATGGTGTTGCGTGGGGTGCGAGGACCGACGGGAGAACTGGAGAAGGCGTGAACGAGAGGAGTGAATTATTCAGAGCAATAATGGAGCCTTTGGTCATTTGTGGAGGGGCCCACCCGCTCCTTTCAGCAAATATCCGAAAAGCAGATAAGATGTGCTGCTGCCCAAACCATGGTTTCAACCGTTGAAACCATGGTTTTACCAGAACCTTGGTTTCCCAAATTTGCATGACCGTTTGGATGACATTTTGGCCAAACCTTGGTTTGGGCTTCCAAACCAAGGTTTTGAATGCAATCCAAACGGTGCCTTAGATTAATTAATTAAGAATTGTATTAAAGAGTGGAGCTGTGTTAATCTTTCTTTTCGTAAGAGGCTATATAACAAGTTACCGAGCCAAGCAAAAGGCAGGCATCCAAGTACAGTGAGGGCCACCTTATTTTATGGTCTAGCGAGAGGATGCGCCATCGTGATTCGCTGTTGAGGTATCTGTGCAGCAGATCAAAAAGAGGATTAGCAAGCGAATCCATTGATCCATTTATTTTCCAGGTGAATGGGGACCAAAATTGTTACCCTCTAATATGATTCACAACAGCACAATTTATATGTCGTTCTAAAATACTAATACTATCTCTAATTTTGAGTATAAAATTTTATTTATAATCTATAAATAAAATCTTATAATCAGGAGAGGAGGTAATATAATATATTGATCATTATTTTTTAAATACACTGTTATGTTATTTTATAGAACATGTTAACTCTTACGTACTCCCCCCCCCAAAAAAACCCCAATAAAGTTGCGTTTAGAAAGGGAGTGAGGATTTTAACGCATCAACGATTCTTCTTAATTTTTAGACTCCTCTTATCTTTAATATAAGATTCATTTAACTAATTTTATTATATTAAGAAAATTAGGTAAGTTAGTTAATTATAAGAAATGTGACACGTTTTTCTTAAAATACCATAATTATCTTTCTTAATATCCATTCTTTCTCTTCTACTTGATTATGGTTGAGGGAGTATCTATATGGGTAATTTTAAAAAAATTGATAAATATGAGAAATTTTTCCTATATTTAGGACCAAAACTAACTCAATAATTAGATCCTATATTAAGGACCAGAAGAGTGCAAATGTGCAAAGAAAAGGGTTGGCAAAAAAAGATACTCTTTTGATCCTAAATATAAGTGTGTAAAAGTCTTATATTTAGGATCAGGGGAGTACAAAGAAAACAGCGGGAATAACATATAATACATGTTTTTTTTCCATTTAAACATGAATATGAAACATAATGCTCCACTAGTATTTAATAAAGGACCTAATTATTGAATTGATTTTGGTCCTAAATATAAGACATATTTATCAATTTTTTTTCTAAATTATACTTATGGATACTCCATCAACCATAATCAAGTAGATAAATGAGATAAAATATTAAGAAAGATGATTATGATGTTTTAGAAAAAAACATGTCATATTTCTTATAATTAACTAATTTACTTAAATTCTTAATCTAATCAAATTAATTAAACAAATATTATATTAAAAATCGGAGGAGTAGTTTAACCAAGAGAGCACACATTTATGTATAAATTTAATATACATATTTTAGAAGAAGCGACACATGATTTTTATATAACAATAAATAAATAATTAATTATTTTTTTAAATTTTCCATAAACTAATGAAATAGTAACTCATATTTTGGAGTACAAGGATTGTTAAGACAGTCCGATCAACCATTTAAAGGGTGTTTGGGTTTAATAAAAATTATTATTTTTTATAAAAAATTAAGATAAACTCCTTTATAACACTCTATAAAAACACTTTGATTCCATCCAAACGTCCTTTTAGTTATAGATTTGTTTTCGCATTTTTGGAAGTCCACGTGGCAGTTCGTCGTTCAATCCTGCGATATACCCAGGTGTAACTTAGAAGTTAGAACCCTTGTGAGCTTTTTCTACTTTGTCAGGATGGGGGGGAAGAGAGAGAGAAAGAGGGGAGCTTCGTCGTAATGAGTCAGAGCTCGGAGATCTGAAACATGTAACTCCGTGTTTTCCATCGATTTCACTCCCTCTCCATGCGCTAAATCCATGAGACATTTGAAAAAAATCTAACTCTGCCTCCGCATCCAAAACACGATCCCCATCCTTCGCTCTTGTTGAATTTTCCGGTGAAATCCAACCTCTTCCCTTCAAGATGGCTACCCCGGAAAGTTCTATTCAGCTCAGATTAAGAAGGTCGCCGAGGTTCACTCCAATTGACGCATTCTCTGTCTCTGCCTCGCCGAACTCCTCGAAGCTCAGTGTGATGGACCGGAATACCCCCGGAAAGCTCCCAAAGCAGGTGCGGTTAACGCGTGCAAATGGCCTGAGGAGATCTCCGAGGATCAATCCGGACAATGCAGCTGTTCATACAGGCTTAGACCGTGAGGATTCGGGCTCATCCGGTAAAATGAGCTCCGCGAAGGCTCTGAGCCGTTTGGGAAAGCCTCGGTGGACGAAGTCTGATGAGAAGCTTTTGAGACGGTCTCCGAGATTTTCAGCGCCGGCGATTATTTTTGGCCCTGAAAATCACGCAACTAAATCTAACTATGACATTCTTGAGGTGTGTCACTCTAAAATCTAAATTAAAGATTTTGTTTTTTTTTTCCTATGCTATTTCTCTTATTTTCCTCTTTTCTTCTCGGGTCATTTTCCCTGTTCTATTTATGGAAATTTGGCCTTTCTTTTCATTTTTTTCATAACGTGATTTTTATTTATTATATTATTATATTTTTAATGATAATTGGTTATCCGATTCTGTTTAAAAAGACAATGTCTGTTTACTGATATAACAGGCAGTATGCCTCACGCAGAAAAGCTATCGTTGTGTCGGATTGCCTTTTTCGGACCATGAAACAAAAACTGGGCCTTAAAAAAAAAAAAAAACCCCTCTTTATGTAAAAAGTACACTCTAAAAAGAACAATCCTATCCAGAGTCTGCTGGGTCACACTATCAGCGTTGTGTTCTGTGTCTGTGTCACTCTGCCAATGACTTACTAATGAAGTTTCTTTGTTTTCTACTATTTTTTTTTCCCTCCTCTCTGTCAGTGTTGTTTTACCTGACTCCTACGTTGTCAATCAGAAGTGCTTCGGCCGTTGCTTCAATTTCCGAGTTTTAATGATAACTTAGTTGCGTAGTATGCATTATTTTTACTTGCCCATCCATTATAATGTGATCACCCAATTTAGAGCTCTGTTTTCCTTCACATTTCTGCGTTGACAGATCTTTATTTTGATTCACATTTCATACTCAATATTCTGTGTATTGATTCTTGAGTAATGCAGTGGCAAAGATGTAGAGGTCAAGATTTACAATTGAAGTGAGTGAAAACTGGAAAGCATGTTTGGCAGTTCACTTTTCTGTTCTAACATGCTGTTTGTTTTAATTCTAGACCAATTAATCCTTCATGTTCTTGCAGTGGTGGCCTGTCAGACCTAAAAACAATTGCAATGGGGGAAAGGTTGTTGAGGAGATCTCCAAGACTCTCATCAACGCAATCTGAATGTGAAAAATTATGCCCAAATATATCATCACAGGAGTTGTTGAAGTCCCCTGAAACTGAAAAGGGCTACCTTGAAGATGTGTTAAGCAATAAATCCAGTTTCCATTTAGTTTCCTGCAGCAAGAAGGGTAATAAGGGGAACGTATCTCTTAAACATGATCATTTAAATTGCTCTGGTGCAAAGGACTTGCGGAAGTCCCCCAGACTTAGTCAACTAACAAGACAGGGTAGTGAGGCATCTATGGAAAACCTTGATAGGAAAATGTTGCGTGGGCTGACCTTTAGAAGATCTCCAAGACTTTCATCTTCTAGTGAGGAACAAACCTTGAACACCATTCTGCAACAACAGGAAACCTCAAAAGTAGTTCAGCAAAAAAAGAGAAGCTTAAGTGCAAAATGTGCTTCTATCAAATTGTCTAATTCACCAAATGAACAGCATTCAAAAGCTGCTACCACCTCAGGGGAAACTAGTCTGACTCCTAGTATTCCCAATAAAAATTGCATGAGCTGGTTTTCAGAGTCAACCACGCCCACATCTGATGATGTAAATTGCATGACAAATTGTGACTCACTTGCCTTGCCTGAGTTAGGTGAAAACCCGTGGAGAAAAAAATTGAGGTCCTCCGCTTCTTTAACAATTAAAGGTGACGATGACTGTAGCATTGCTTCCTTCATTGGTGATCCAATACCTGATGATGAAGCTCTCAAACTATGGGGATGGCGCTATGAATTGAAGGTAGTTGACATGGTTCTTTTAATATGATTCGCCTACCATCAGAATCAGAAAAATACTCCCTTTTGTTATATGTCATTTCCCCACATATATCTCTTCTCTTCTATACTAGATCGACAACATACTATCGCATTTTATTTATTTATTTTTGGGCGAAACAAAATATTGCAATTTAATTTCTGTTAAGTTATAGATGCGTTGTTTTTATATATTTTGTGCTGAATGTGTCACTTGCAGGATAAAGGATTTAAAGGTAAAACAACCAAAATAAAGTGAGTATTAATCAATTCACTAACTCTCCTCTGTAGTGCTTTTTTTGCCGACTCAGATTTTAACTTCTTTTCTGTATCTGTTTCTTTTGATGTTGATGATTCCATAGTGAGGATGGAGAAGATGAGACCATCATCAATGTAGAACGCCATTATGCCCAGGCTAGAATTGGGAATTGCGTTTATAGTCTTGGTGATTGTGCATTCATAAAAGTAAGTGTGTCCTTCTGAAAATTGGGCATTCCCCTTTTTCATCTTTCTCCTTTCGTTCTTGTTGCATTTGATAGGTAAAATCGATTTTGTGGTTTGGCCTGATTAGCCACAACTTGAATAGACAAGTCCTAAGTATTAGTCTTAGTTGCTTTAGCGAACTCTACATCACTCGCAATTTTCCGTTCCCTCATTCATATACGATTTATACCTCTTTTATTTGTCACCGTAAATGAAGTGGCTTCGCATCCTTATATATGAATTCGCTTTTCCAGTTTTCCCTAACTACATATTTGTTCCTTGACTTTATCTTGTGCAACCAGCAACCCATCACTTGATTCTTTAATTGAGGCTACTGTACTATATATATTTTAAATTCTCGTTAATTTATCGCCACATCAAAACCGTTTAACCATGTTTCTTGGATGTGACATTTCACATCTTCTAAATTTACGTCTTTAATTGTAATAGTTCTGTTATTGAAGACAATTAATCCTTTTTTAACTATATTTTTCCTTTATTTGCTTTAGTTGGGAGATTATTGTGATTGCAGTCAGCCAACAGCCCTTCCTGGGTTTTTGGTTGAAGAACGCAGTTACTGATTTATAGTATGACTTCTGGGAGCTAGTCGTGGCCTCATCCTGTTGGTTTTCAATTTACTTACCAAAGAATATTATTTATGCGCTGGACGAGTGATTTATGGCAAAAAATTCCTGGCTCAAAGGTGACCATTCAGTTGTTTCAAGGAGGAGTTGAGACATTGATTTGAAATATTTTGGATAAATAATATACTTTATGTTCCAATATAATGAATGCATCAACAATATTGGCGAGTTCCCTTTTCAATTTAAATGTCACAGAAGAGCATAGTTAATTATAATTGCTACTCATGAGAAATTAGTGCAACTGACTATCTCTAGTCACAGTTAATCTTTAGTAAGTACATTGTGTTTTGTTGCCTGTCATCTTTACTTTCAAGGGATAAGTTAGGTATGGTGGTTAACTAACCAAACCATATGGGGCATGAAAGTGAACAAAAAATAAGTTATTTCCTACGGGCCTAGAATCAGAGCAAATCATACTTATATTTGAAGTGATACTTACAGGGTGAAGGTGAAAAAAACCATGTTGGCAAGATTGTTGAATTTTTCCAGACAACAAATGGAGAAAATTATTTCCGAGTCCAATGGTTTTACAGAATTGAAGATACCGTAAGTTTGTCTTGGTATTGACTTGGCTGTGCCATAATGATCCTAATAATTTGCTGATTTTATGTGATATTCAGGTTGTCCAAGGCCAAGGTGGTTTCCATGACGAGAGACGCTTATTCTATTCATCAGTAATGAATGATAACTTGATAGATTGCCTTGTTGCAAAAGTCAATGTTACATACGTTAAACCCAGGGTATGGAAAATCTTTTTAAGATTTTTTTCATTCAATTTTTTATGATCCCATGACTTGGCATAATGGTACTAAACGTTTTTTATGTCATTTATGTAGGTTGGTTTGAAGTTGACTTCTGTTTTACCATTTGACTTCTATTATGATATGGAGTATTGCGTGGATTACTCCACATTTCGATCCCTATCAACAGGTGAGTCGTGAATGAGGCTAGGATGCTACTGGTATTTTACCCTCTTGAAGTAAGGCCTAATTGTAATTTTAGCAATTTAACTGTGGCGTATAACAAAATACCCCTTATTTGTTGAAAAGAAAAACCGAAAATGTTAACTTCTAACGTTGTTGGACATTATAAGATCGTGTGAGGTGAGCAGCTCATGCTCTCTTATTTCTGCAATTGCTCCTCTCGTCCCCTGAGTTGGCGTGTGAAAGAAGAGTCAAATCCCTAATTCCCTACATCCTAAGTTCAATACGCCAAAACATGGGATCAAATTACAAGGTCAAAAACACAATACAAGCATAACATCCCAACAGATTAGTTGAAAATTTAAAACATAATTATCCAATCATAATAGAAATATAAGATGATAAAAACTTGACAAGATAACGTCTTCCAGAATAAATTAAAACTAGTATTAGAAAAAGCTATTTAATGATAATGACAGAAGAGTTGCTGAATATCGCATGTAACGAGGCATTTTCTTTTAACCCCCTTGTCAGGGTTTTGATTTGTGTGTGTGTGTGTGTGTGTTAAATACGTCTTATGCTTTGTCTAAGCACCATATGGATATTGCTTCAGACAGTGATGCAAAGTGTGGTGAGGTACCATCAGCTGTTGCTCGTGAGACTCTCACAAAATTGACCTCTGCTACTGACAAGAGTAATATATCTAGTTCTGAGTCAGACAAGGAAGAATTAGCATTACTAGATCTTTTCTCTGGTTGTGGTGGTATGTCAACTGGATTGTGCTTGGGTGCCAAAGTTTCTTCAGTTAACCTTGTGACGGTACTGTACATGAAATTTTGATCTCTGACGTATTTCTTCGTGTCTGTGAACTCGACAATGTACATTACTTACTGAATCGATCTTTTTGTTCCTTTTGCCAGAAATGGGCTGTTGACAGTGATGGTTCTGCCTGTGAAAGCTTGAAATTAAATCATCCAGAAACACACGTAGGAAAAAACTATCCCCCCCTACGTTGAGGATAATTTTATGTTAGCCTATAATTGCAATATTTATTCATTATATAGGTGAGAAATGAATCTGCTGAGGAGTTTCTGGAACTATTAAAGGAATGGGAAAAGCTATGCAAACGGTATAAGGTCAATGATGCCGAAAGAACAGTTTTATTACGATCAACGAGATCAGAAGAAAAGATGCAAAGGGACTCTCAAGCTGATAGTATTCCTCCTGATGAGTTAGAAGTTTCCAGGCTTGTTGATATATGCTATGGTGATCCAAGTGAAACAGGAAAGAGGGGCCTGTATTTTAAGGTAGTCAATTCAGTGTCAGCTTGAGGATATATCTTTTGCTCCACTTATAAAATACTTTTCCTGAAATGATTCAGTAGATCTATTTGTTCAACCTCTGTTAAAGAAATAATTCACCACAAAGCCTTTGTCTGGGCCTCCAGTTCTGTCAAGTTCACACAGATATGCATGAAAATTTCCTCAAAATGATCAAATAGATACTGATTAAAGTAGGCAACAAAGACATGCAACCTAAAGTAGTTTATTCTCTGCTCATAGGATTCTTTTTGCGTTGCCAATCTTCTTGAATACTCTATGCCACTATTGAAAAGAATTATTCTCATGAAAATATTAAATATGTGGTGCTAAATAATATATGCCACTATTTAATAAATAATATCTAAATACATATGATTATTAGTTTTAAACTATCTTGCGTAACAGATAAGTTATGAAATGGTGTTCAATGTATATTAACTAACAGCTTTGGAAAGTGTCTACATCCTCTCACAGCAATTATTGGGAGAAAAACCAGTGCATACGAGCAAAAATGCTGGTGGTTTTCTGCTTGGTCGAGCTCAGTTTTCTGTTTGAAAAACCACTGTCAAAGCCACAAGCAAAGCCACTGGAAAACTGGGCCAGCTTCAACTCGGTTTTCTGTTTGAACCAGTTGGTTTTGTCGGCCTTGAGCAATTACAAGGCATCATGATAGAATTATGCGGCATGACTGAACTGGATTACTGGACCATGGCTTGGTTCCCGGTCCAGTAGATCAGATCGTTTGTCTCTGAGCAAAATGTTTGAATCATGTTCCGATTCACTGTCAGTTGCAATTACATTTTCTTGATTATTTCATAGGTACGCTGGAGGGGTTACAGCCCTAGTGAAGATACATGGGAACCCATGGAAGGCTTGAGGTATTTCCCTTTTATTCAATTGATTATTTTTTTTATGACATATCACTACTTATTGAATTTGTATTCCTAGAAATTGTCAGGAGAGCATAAAGGATTTTGTGAGAAAGGGAATGGGATTGAAAATTTTGCCACTTCCTGTAAGTAGTATCATGAAGCATGAAGCTGTGATATTAGCCAGAGGTGTCTCTGCTTTTCAAGTAGAATTCTTAATTTTTAAAAAATATATTGCAGGGTGCTGTTGATGTTATTTGTGGGGGTCCTCCTTGTCAAGGAATCAGTGGATATAACCGCTTTAGAAATGCTACATCACCGTTGGATGATGAAAGAAATCATCAGATAGTAGTCTTCATGGACATAGTAGAATTCTTGAAGCCAAAGTATGTATTGATGGAGAATGTTTCCGATTTACTGAAATTTGACAACGGTTCACTTGGAAGATATGCATTAAGTCGCTTGGTACATATGAATTATCAAGCAAGACTTGGATTAGTTGCTGCCGGATGTTATGGTCTTCCCCAATTTCGATTGCGTGTTTTTCTGTGGGGTGCTCATCCTAGTGAGGTCAGTTCCTTCCCTCCCCAATGCGCCCCCCCCCCAAAAAAAAAAAAAAATTGGGAAGGGGAGTCAATTATTTCATTTAACCATAATATAAACATCTGCCTACAAGTTTGTACCTAACCTACATGGTAATTGATTATTAATCTGACGTCAACAGAGCTTATATGTCTTTTTACCCTCCCTTTTTCCTCTTGAGGCTTTTGTAAAGAAATAGAAAATTATCTGAATGAGAGTTTTTCATTTGCCTAGACATTGTATCATGTGTTTATACTAATCACTTGCATATATTTTAACCTAGCTGTCACAACCCATTATTACAATTCACAAGTGCCATCACTCTCCCTCAGGTTGAAGATTTTTCAAATTTTATCTTGTAAAAAGATTAAAAATGATGAGGTCGCAATGCAAGATCTTCAGCAACTAACACTTTCTCTAATACGTTCTTAGTAGATGAACAGCTCCCATATTTTATTTTGCGTGCTTTCAAGAAGCAGCCCCCTTAACATTCTCCAAATCGCTATCCATGGCCATGTTACACAGCCTCAGGAGTTCTTCAAACTACTTCCCTTATGTGGCCTTTTGACTTTTTCCTCACCGGTTTCCACCATGTGGGTTACAACCACGACAAACACCATAACACAATAAAGCTAGGTTTGGCTCTTAAGCAACTACGGCAAATGTATGATGACTCCAAATTTAAACCCACAAAAGTTTTTTTTTTTTTTTTTAATTTTCCTTGTCCAGCTTTTTCAACTGGCATTTCTCTTCTGAGTAGCTGCCCATATTCTCTATTAAGTGCATCTTGGCACCATTCTACCAAACTTGCATCCTGTCTCTAGTTATTCTACCTTCGATATTTTATGCATGAGCAAACTTGCTTCTCTCACTGGTTCTCTATTCTCTAGCAGGTTTTACCCCAATTTCCATTGCCAACACATGAAGTTATTGTTAAATATTGGCCTCCACCAGAATTTGAGGTATAGAACATTATTCTCAAAAGAACTGAGAAATGTTGTCTACTATGTTCAATTATTTTTTCACTTTATGTGCAGCGCAATACTGTTGCTTTGGATGAAGGCCAACCTCGTGAGCTCGAAAAAGCTATTGTTATTCAAGATGCCATCTCTGATCTTCCAGCTGTACTCTTCATCCCCTCTTTTCTTTTTCTTTTTTCCTGTCCAGCAACTTGCAGTGAATTTAATGTTATAGGTTCATAGGTCACATACTGTGAAAATAGTGAAGAACTGCCCTACCAGAATCCTCCGGCAACCGAATTTCAAAGATATATAAGGTCATCTAAATATGGTAATACTACCTTCCTTTTGATTACAAATTGGAACTAATCAAGAAACAGTATTTTATCATGTAACTTAGCTTGCCCCTACCATCTTTGCTGAACCTGTGTTGTGTAACTAAGAATGTGTCCTTGCAAATAAACAATCAAAGCATTCCTAGGCAGTGGGGCTCTATAGATACTTTAACAAATTCAATTAGCTGATTGTAGAGCAATACAACCCGAATTTGGAGATCTGCTTTCTCGATAGTTAGTGACGCCACCTTGTTGGACTGGTGGAGTTAATATGTTGATTTAATTGATTGTATTTAAGTGAAAAAAAGCAACATATTTAGCTGTTTAATTGTGAAGCTAAATGTTACTTTGCCTATATCCTGCATCTATTTTTAAGTTCCCAGACAGTCACTTCATGTACTTTTTTACTTGAAGATTTTATTCTTATTTGATATCTTCTGCTTTTCATCTTTGAATAGAGATGACTGGGTCGACATTAGATAGAAGATCAGATAAAACGCCTTTGCTTTATGATCACCGATGCTGCCATATGGATGAAGATAACTACTTGCGTGTTTGTCAAATTCCAAAAGTTAAGGTCGGGCAATATGGACAAAATGTTCTCTTAAACTTTTTGCTTATTTCCTCTTTACCCTCGAACACACACACACATTTGGCCAATTCCTCTTTACCCTTGAGTTTACTTTTACTGTAGGGGGCAAATTTCCGTGATCTACCTGGTGTAGTGGTGGGAGCTGATAATGTGGCTAGGAGGGACCCAAATGAGAAGCCTGTGCTCTTACCATCTGGAAAGCCATTGGTAAATCTTTGGTTGCCTTCATTTGGAGGGGATTGCGTTCATATTATTTAGCTGCGTTGACAGAATGAATACTTATTCTGGGCCAAGAAAAGTAACATAATGCCGTCATTGCTTTTACAGGATTTAAACCGTGCTTAAACCTGAGAATTTGGTTGAAAATTTGTTGAAGCCATAGGGATTGGGAAAATCCCTTTTAAATCTCTTCGAAATACACAAATTCCAAATTGGTCCCCTAAATTTAGCAAATCCCAAATCAATTCGTGGGACCAATTTGAAATTGTGTGAATGCCGTTATTAAGTGGGAAAAATTCATGTTCAAGTTTCTATTTCTTGCTAAAATCGAATTAGATTGACTTGGTCTTATCTTGCTCTCTTGCTTTGATTTTTCTGCTTAGGTCCCAGATTTTTGCTTCACTTTCGAACAAGGGAAATCTAAGAGGTGTGCTGTTTTTCATTTAATGGCCTTGTAAAGTTATTTATTTATTTTTTTGTGTGTCTTATTTAAACCTTTAATCAATATTCATTTTACATGTAGGCCATTTTCACGATTGTGGTGGGATGAGACCATTTCCACTGTCCTGACCTGCCCACATTATCGTGCCCAGGTTTTTGCTTCGCTCTTCGATTTCAGATATAACTAACGCAGATTTCTTATAGCTTTTTCTTTTAAACATTTGTAGACAATATTACATCCTGAACAAGATCGAGTGCTTTCTTTAAGAGAATGTGCAAGGTTACAAGGTTTTCCTGATTACTATCAGTTCTGTGGGACTGTTAACAAGAGGTATGAAACTATGATTTTGATAAATACCGTATAATTGAACGCGTGCTCTTTTATCAGTTACTTGATATATCGTAAATAGACCAAGTTCTAAATTACAAAGTCAAGCATGAAAAAAAAATCATCGTAAACATATCAGATATTAAGCATATCATGCTTGGATCTACCTTAATATCCTTGGTCAACTTGTGTTTATAGAGTCATGTTGAAATGTTATTTCCTGCCCTTGGAAAGTTAATAAAGTGAATAGATATTGTTCTGAAATAACTAAAAAGAATCCTTTTCCACTGTTAAAAATTTTGTTCAGGTACTGTCAAGTCGGAAATGCAGTTGCCATTCCGGTGGCAAGGGCTTTGGGATTTGCCCTGGGGATGGCACACAGAAAGCTCAGCGGAGATGAACCGCTTCTCACTCTCCCGCCCAAGTTCTCTCTCTCAAATTATATTCAGTTGAAAAATAGTCAGAAATCAGGCAACACTGATAAGCATTCATCCTAATTCATTTTCACTGATGTTAAAACTTTTCTAACCTATTCATTTAAACCCTTTTTCCTTCTAGAGCTGCCTTGGCAAGTGCACTTTTAGCGGGAAAAAGTTTGACAACATTCTCTTCACTTGTACTGCACCTGAGGCATTAGCATTTTTTTAATTGTTTTTCATCATATCGGATGTTGTAATATATTGGATCCTTCTTTCATTAATGATGTTACTTGTTCTTGCATATCAAATTCTGCACAATTATGACGAAAGACCATAAAGTTTGAGCTGAATTTAAAATGACCCAAAGAACTCAATATGTACCACCTTAGCATAATGCTCGCCCTTAGTGGTGTTAGTTATCGGGTCCTATCCTGCTTGACCTTTATGTGGAGAAAAAAAAAATATTTCTTTAGTCTTAAAAATAAGACTCATTTTTTAATGAAAATATATTATAAAATGGGTCATATATTTAGAATCAAATGAGTAACAAGAAGGCAAAAGAATAAAGCCTAATAAACTATTTATTTATTGTACCCTCTTTTCTTTAGAGTTCTCTCAATACTTTTTCTTTCTCTGTAGTCAACTGTCATTGCAATTAGTAAACTGTTGTTCCTCTCTACTCCCTCTACTTTTGCTATGTTATTGTGTTTCTCTCTTCTCACTCTTTATGGTTTATTCATATAAAAGTTTTTGCGTTGGATTTGAAACTAGAGCTTCCTCTTCCTCTTCTTCCTCCTGAGTTGACCCGCCCTGTCCTTCCTCTTATTTAAAGACTCCCGTCCAAACAATTAAATATCTATTTTACACGGTTGGATGTTTGATATCTTTGAATTCCGTGATGGTTGGTGATTTGCACTTGAGATTAGGATAGCTGTGGAAGCTACGATTCTTTCGGCTAGTTTTCACAAGATGTAGTAATCACTTGAACAGTAAGAGACTAATCTTTTTGAGATACTGTTAGATGCTGTTGTGGGGATCCCTTCTAACAATGTTTTTTTTATATACATTGCTCCAAAAATCGAACTCAGAACATGATGTTTAAGGTACTCAAATCCCTTCTACTTGAACCAACACTTGTTAGTCAGTGTGAATTATGTGACTAGAGAAACACTGATTGGAGTGCTTGTCCCAAAGAAATATCACTGCTTATGGTTCATCATCTGCCCATTCCTTTCTCATCCTTGCTTTCTCCTTGGAGGCGGAACTCCAAGATAGTAGTTCTGTCTGGTAGTTACTCGTGTGTGGCGTGATGAGTGGCATTTTCGATGGTTGACATATTTAATTTTCTTAATTAATGTTTCCAACAAAGTATTCAAACATAAAAGCCGCTCATCGTTGCTTCTCTTGCGACGCGGGTTGGAGGGAAAACGTGGTTTTGCTGTTTGTATGTTTGTTTGGCAGCGGCTGCTTTTTTTTTATTATTATCTCTGTTTTTTTTTTATAGGCACTGGTATCCTCTCATTAAAAACAATTATATATTTATACAAAAAAAAATAATTATATTTGAGAAACTGTCAAATATTATTTATGGATATCTTTTCTAGTAAAAATTTGAATTGGAGTTCACCACGTATGAGACTAATTATTTCTGTTAGATCCCATTTTTATTGGTGCAGTTGTCTTAAACAAGGTTTAGACCATAAAAAATAGACGTAGGCCCATTATATTTTTAATTCTAGCCCAAATCATTTAGGCCCCACTCCTTCTTTCGGCCCATCTTAGTTGGCCTGGACATCGGATCATTCCTCTGGCAAAAACTCGAATATCGGATAATTAAAATCATTTTGTGCCCTATTCCGTTATTTTCAGCCCATTTGCATGTGGGATTTATAGGGTTGGTTGTCACGTCTCTCGGCCTCGCTCTCGCTCGTCGTCTTTCCTTTTTCCTCTGTTGTATGCGAAGCCTCAGTAGGCAGAGTGACGGCAAGAGAGACGTTTTTGGTAAGATTCTTCCTGTGATGTCGTCGTTCTTTTCCCCTTTCTCTCGGTCTGCTGTGGATTAGTGCCTCGTCTTGCCCTTTCTTCTTTGTTCTGTCACTCTTCATATTTTCTCTCCTTATTTGTTACTTTGATTCAGTGCATGAGAAGAACTTGCGTGTGATTGTCAGTGTTTGTCAAATTTTTTTTAAAATATTTTAGGGGCAATTCACCCTAATTTTTTTGGTCGTGACCTGTGACTGTGATTTTATTTGTTATTGGATAAACTGACCTGGTCTTAATCTAGGAACTTCGGTCTGTTAGGCTTTGGTTCTATACTTGCGTGATGATGCACGAATTCATAAATTCTGTTTATCATTCCTTTTGCTGATAGTGGATGGTTCCTTGAGTTATTTTGTTTTATGATTTGAAATGTCTGTGTGCTCTTCTATTCTTATCGGGTATGCTGCAAGATGCCTCAATGTTTCAATCGCGAAAAAAGGTCATGTTGCCTTGCAAATCATCATGCAGAATATCTCGATTATGACACGTGAAGTAATCTTAACATATGTTTTCATGATCAGAATTAATTACTGTTAATTTCTTTATTTGGTACATTCATTTTTTTTTTTTGGTTCCGAAATCAGGACTGCGGTGGACTGCTCTTTCAAGAGTTTTTGTGTTGACCTACTATTCAGAGAAAAAGATGGACAGAAGATTACCAGCGGATTCAATCCCTATTTTCAACGAAGGTATAGCTCTGGTTCTCCATCGCTGGTCAGCTCTCCGTATGGCTGTCGAGAACGAATGGGGAGGCCGAGAGTCCCGCCAGAAGGCTGAAAGACTTGGCAGCGATCTGCTTTTCTGGTTCACCCAATCTAAAGGTTGTCTTCTCTTTCTATTGGAACACATAAAGCTTTCGTATTATCAAAAGCAGAATCCTGGTGTATATGGTAACGCTCAAATTATTAAGATTTGGTACAACCTGTTGATAACTAAGCAATATCAAGAGATTGAGTTGTAGAATCTTATACCCCCACACATGTTGTTTTGAAAGTTAGATTGAAGTTGTTTATGGTTTGATTAAGAGAGGAGTGATAATCTAGAAAAGGCATCTTTTAATATTTTGGATGTGGTATTCACTCTGGAATTTAGTTACTGATTTTAATAGCTTTTGTTCCCCAGGGCCTCTGTATATTGATGACTTGGAAGAGAAGCTCGATGAAGGTATGGTTTCTCTCAACATGGAGGTTGAGGATGGCAGTATCGAAGAGGTACTTTCGTGTTAAAGTTGCTTTCAGATTTTCATATCAGTAATTGTTTGTTGTCGTAATCTGTCACAACTAGTGAGCATCTTGGCATCAACTAATTTTTATTTTAGTATATCGCCAACATTTGAATGCGGAAACACACTTGTGCTGACAGAGCTTTGGTTCTATTCCTGTTTACAATAGATCGTGCCCCTTTGAGAATGAGTCTCATAATAAACTTCGTGGATTTTGCATGAATATTCGTAAAACCTATATTGGCCTATTGGGTTGTTAGAACCCTTCTTTATTAGAGTTTATTACTTATTAATAATCAATACCATGTTATGTCTAACTGCATTTTTAGGAAGGCTCAAATTCTGATTTTTAGTTTCACGTCAAGTTCATGAGTGTTTTATTTACATTGGCCATGCCTGCGGAAACTCTTCTATTTAAATGGGCTATTAATTGAACTTGAATTATGGCTAAGATGCCTACTGATGTCGTCTTTTGTCAATACATTTGATCTGACTAGTTTAATTCACTCACATGCGTTGGTGGCATGCAATAGCTGTCCCCAACGCCCCCTTTCTGTCTCTTATCCCATCATTTTCATGTTGATGATTTTGCAGGTAGCTGAGAAACTGATGATTTTGCATGAAGAATGTCTTGAAGGTAATTTTAGGTCCATTGAGATTCTAAGGGAAGCCCATCTTAAACAAGCTGCTCACCCTCGTGCAATGCAGGTACACATGGTATCGGGGTTTTTAACAGAATTATTGAGTTTTATAATCATATTGCTTATAAAGTATATGTATTTGCTGGGATGCATATAACAAATATAGCTTCTACAACTTAAGCTTGATGCCTGATGGAGTATGTTGGGAGGGAGGAACAAAGAGTTATCATTTGACATGGTGCTTGAATTTGGCGTGTGCTATTCATAAAAAGATGACAGGATATTGTGGCGTAACACGATATTTGTTTGTAGTTGGGCTGAAAGTTAAAAGATGCGGCCTTTACTAATATGTAAGAACTAAGAAACTCTTTTGTGATTTAGAGCTGGCATGTCATACTGTTTAATTTAAATATGAAAATGCAGGAATTGTCTTGCATAACCGGATGAAACTAATGATCTTATTGCACGGGGAAGGAAAAATTAGGAAACAAAGGAAACAAATGGCATTTGCTCTCCCCGTTGTGAAAGATTTATATTCATGGGCGTGCTTATTCTCATAATCTGATTCCTAATGTACAGCTTTTTGTCGGTTGCCGTTTGTGTTTTTGGACTATGTTCAAGATCGTGCACACAATGTCTTTGGTTATCATACATAATATGTGAACAGAAACAGTCTGATTATATCTGCTTGATTTTGATGAATGTTACAAAGTTTTGACATACTTGCCTTGTTAGGCTGTGAATAATGATGAGGACTCTGAAGATGATGATGATGATGAAGAAGACAGAGCAAGGGATAATTCTAATATGGCGGTAGAAATGCAAATGCCAGTTAAGGAGTCCATACCCAAGGCTGCAGCTGAAGCAGGAGACGATGGATGGACTGTAGTCTCAAATAGACGGAATAAGGGTAGAAATTAGAGGGCAATAGGGGAATTCATTTAAAGATCCATTAAATCGTATGTATAGACTTTAGTTTTTGTTTCGTTTTGTTTGTTTGGATTTTTTTCGTAAACTACATGTGTTGCGCCTTTGCTGTTTGAGCAGGTCAAACTTTATATTTCATGAATCACTGGCGATGTTGATATCGTTGGACCTTAAAATGAAATCAATTTTAACTTGTAAATTACCATGAAAAATAATGCTTAAAAAAACATTGAAAATAAGCACTCATGTTTTGGCCAGCAAAAATATGTATTCCACAAAAAGAAGAAAAATTGTCAATGGTGTGTTCCGAGCATGGAAATTATAACAATTGAATTATCCATCATGTGTATGCTTCTCTGATGTGTTAAGCATGTTTCCCCTCCAAAAAATAGAAGCAATAAACTCGAGAAAATATATCATTTACCGTGGAATATAATAGTGACGCATACTTCTATTTTTCAGATGTTGCGTCTAATAGTGAGAAGAAAGTATGAACCGAAGTTGAAAAATGTTCGTGGCTTGAAGAGGAAATTGAATTGAATTTTCTTCGCATAAAATTTTTATTATCTTTAAATTTGTTTGTAAAGTGTCACAATACAAGTTATAAAACACATTATTATCATAATATAATTGTGAGCTTTTCATTTTATTAAGTTCCTAATTTACTTATTATATTATACTCTAATCTTTTAACGTAGGATTTAATTGCATAGTTAATATTGGTCCTATATATAAAATCTATTTTACATGTTGATCAATTTTTTTAAAAAATTAATTCTATTGATATTTTCAAAGTAATAATCAAGTAGGAGGGGGAGGGAGGAAGGGAATTAAAAAACACGTTTATGATATTTTAAGAAAAATGTTCTGTTAATTAATTTAACTAACATTTTTAATCTGCTCAAAATAATTAATTAAGTTTTATGTTAAGTAGCAAAGAAGTAGGTCTTAACTTTTAAATTTTGGTCCACAGAATTGGTTTTTACAGCTGGGACACAGTAATGGTTGTGTACTTAATATTCAGTAATCCATCTGACAATTTTAGAGGGCTAACTTGGCTATTAAAAAAAAAAATTGATTCAAAGAGAAGAAAAACAAAGAAAGCCAACGACTCCTGAGCATGCTCATATGCTACTAGCAATTTCAGCATTTTGGGCTTTTTTTTTTTTTCTTAAAAAAAAATTGCTGGCCAATCTTCGCTCATTTTTCCCTCAACACATTAAATACAAAATTCTGTGTCAAAATTAAATATGAAATCCTTAATATAAGACTTTATTTAAATTTTATTTTGATCCTAAATATAAGACCCTAATCCATTTTGTCTCTTATATTTATATTTTTTTTCTAAGATAGTCCTTCTAACTGTGATAATTATAACCAACACACTTAATTAGTAAAAATATTTTAGGAAAGATAACACTTATTTATTACAAATAATTAATTTAATTTTTTTAAATTTTTTTAAATTAGTCAACTAGCTCTTATAATTAAGATTAGAGATAGTATTATAATTTATCTCTTGTAATTAAACCCTGTTAAATGTTCTGTCTCGCATATCTTTTATATATATATATATATATATATTTTCAAGTACTCTTCATTCTGGCCAAAAAACCTGGGTTTTTTGTCCGGTCACCATCCCCATATATAGTCGGAGGTTTAAAACCTGGGCTAAAACCCTCGTCTCAGTGTTCATCCATTTCATACAAGAATGACGACCAAGTATTTGACATTAAGAGCTTCTACTAAAACCCTCGTCCAACTTCTTCAACCTTCTGTTCAACATTCTGGGCCGGTTTCTCAATTCATTAGAAGCTTTCATTCATTCGTTTCCCGAGAATTTGATGCTCGAAGATTTCAGAACTCTTATCCTGGAAGTTGCAGGGGCATGGTCTGTGCTCCAAATTACAATCTCGATGAAGCTGGTGCTGCTGCGCTCGCCCGTGATGATCCTGTTCCAGCTACTGTGATAACAGGTTTTCTTGGTTCTGGAAAGGTTGGTTTGTTTGGTGCCACCCCCCCTTTTGGCATTGTCAATTTTATCTTTGGGTACAGCGTGGTTGTAGTGCCTCTACCATACGAATACGAACTGTTTAATTTATCTAATGGCTCTTGATGACATGCTGTATTATTTATTTATTTACGTTTTGATGTATAGTTTAGAGATGATACGCAGATTTCACTGTTTGCGGGTAATTTTTTTACCATCCCTGGAATGTATTCAAACATGATCCTCTGTTATGCAGACGACTCTCCTAAATCACATTCTGACGTCCCAACATGGCAAACGGATAGCTGTCATTGAAAACGAGGTATTTAATTCTACCTGCCTATAGAATTCCTTGTTTGCTTGAAGTCTTCACTTGATATACAACATTCAATTTCGAAATTTTCACTCTATTTTGAATTACTACTTGGGAGAAATTGAGTATTCAGCACTAGTACTGAATATTAACGTTCAGTATGGGCATCTTTTATAAATACAGTGATATTGACTTGAGTTGAATTAGTCATTGGCACTAAAGCAACATGACGATGACATAGAGCAATTTGCGATGTAACTTTTAAGTGAAGTATGCGAAGTCATGATGTAGCCCAACCCAAAAAGAAAAAAGAAAAAGGGAATACGAGGGAATGAAGTTTTCGGGGAACCTTCCCTTTTTCATATGGAGCATTGATTTTTGTGAGATTGTCTTACTTTTGTTATAAATGCAGTTTGGTGAGGTGGATATTGACGGATCATTGGTCGCTAGTCATTCTTCCGTGAGTGAAGACATTGTCATGGTTAATAATGGCTGCCTATGCTGCACTGTACGAGGGGATCTAGTTAAAATGCTGTTGGAACTGGCTAGAAAAAAGCGAGACCGGTTTGATCATATTGTTATAGAAACCACAGGTATGTGAATTGTTTGTGAAGTTCGTAGAACTTGTTCAGAGGGAACTATAATGTTGTAGTTGGGTGTTCGTTTAAGCCCAAACTGACTGAAGAGCTGAGTTAGGAATTTTATAGGGGTTCTCACTCGTTAGAAACACCTTTCTTCTGTCATAGGTTGAAAGAAAATATAAGTCAGTATTATGAGGAAAATGGGGGAATATGGAAATGATGCAGGTATAATAAGGGGAATGAATCCTACTCTTATTGCCTCAATTTTACATCTAGTACTTAAAAAGATTGTCACCACTCCGCCGAATTCTCATGAATCATCAAATTCATCTTCATGTTCCCTGAACTTTTTCTGGAGACTTTAGACTTACCATATACTGCCAAGTGCCTGCTAGTTTTTGGGTGATAAAAATTTGTGTCGTTTTAGTCAATGCATCTGTTTGGTGTATTAAACTGTTTGCTAGATCATACGATTTAATCTGCTGTTGCAGGTCTTGCCAAGCCAGCTCCTGTTATTGAAACATTTTGCAGTGATGAGCAGGTTTCTCGATATGTGAAGTTGGATGGAGTTGTGACTTTGGTTGACTCCAAACATGCCATGCAGCATTTAAATGAAGTGAAACCAAGGTTTGTGGTTAATGAGGCAGTGGAACAAGTTGCATATGCAGACCGTATTATTTTGAACAAGGTGATTTTCTAGCTGAAAGGCCTTTGCTCCTATAGTTTCTAAGTCCTTATTAAGGGCTGAGAAACTAATCTTCTTGTCTCGTTGGTGCTCCTCAATATTGTTTTACATTATTCAAATTTTATTTTATATTTAAATTGTCTTTGGCAGATAGATTTAGTGACTGAGTCTGAGTTGGAAGTTTTGACCAAGAAAATTAAGGTATGTTTTGTTTTATATGGATTTTGAAGAAGTCGTTTTTTTAAAATTAAACTGGGAAGGTGGTGTGATATTGTACAGAAAGATGATGTGTAGAAACTAGAAAGTTCAACCTCTGTTCATAGAAATGCAATGTGCTTATCTCATCAAATATTGTTGTTGCCAGCATATCAATGGGATGGCACAAATTAAGCAAGCTAAATTTGGATCTGTTGACATGGACTTTGTTTTAGGTGTGGGAGGATATGATGTTGAGAGGTATTCATGTTTTTGGTTTCTTATAGAGCTTTTTTAGTTTATGTTTCCTCTCATCTCTTTGTAATACTTTAAATGAATGTTGTATATTTAATAATATGTAGTTTTTCTTGAAATTTCTTCTGCCACTTAATCAAATACTTTAATATTGTAGAATTGAATCTGAGGTTCACGGAGATTGTTCATCTTCTTCAAGTGATCATCATGAGTCTTGGCAAGGTAGTCTCTCAGAACCCTTTTTCTCATTGTATGTTTGTTTTATTGTTTTAAATATTCTAAAAGTTGGTCATGGTATAAGTTGAAAGATTTTCAGATGGAAAATAGATGGATCCCATGGATTTGGTTGATGTGACTCTTACATCAAGGGATGTAATAGATGTCTCTCTCAACGCCTTCTTTTTGAAGAGTCCTCTGTACTCTGAGTTATCTTTTTGATTTATCTGAACTTCACTTTCTAGTCTTTCCACTTCCTTCTTCCTCTGTATGGTTCAGTCCTAGTTTTTAGAGCTCTGGATGAGTGCGAGCTAAAGTAAATTCAACACCCCCCCCCCCCAAAAAAAAAAAATTTAAGAGTAGTTATGTTTCACTGATCTTAAGTTCTGGGTCCATTTTTTGTTATAAACACGCAAGTCATCACTGAATTATTGTGACTGTAACTACAGAACACAAAGGACATCATCATCACAACCATGAGCATGATTCTGCGGTCTCCAGTGTCAGTATTGTTTCTGAAGGAACCCTTGATCTGGACGAGGTAATTTTAGTTCCCTTTCCCCTGAAAAATAAATATAAAGTGTTGGTCCTAAATCAACGGCTTCTCTTTATTTGCGTTATCCCAAACCAAACATGTTCGTTTTGGTGTATCTGTGCAATATAAAACTCTGGACTCTGGATTTGCTTGATGGGTTAGAGTTTTAAACTCGGTGTTGTACCCTTGAGCTGTTATTTTTTTGGCATATGAATCACTTATTTTTAGTGCCTGAGAGAGCGATCTGGAATCGTTATATATGCAGACTTAGTAGAGAGGATAAAAAATTGCTAATAGAATAAGAGAGGCATGAAGCCCAATGCAAACCATATTGTTTATGTGGCATGTAAATAGTAGATTATAAAGAGAAGCTGCAATATTCACTATTCATAAACAATGTGACTTGCATGAAATTTATATTCAATAATTAAATTACATCTGTTCGTAAGGCTATTGAAATTAAGCCCTAGTCATTTACATGTACAAACACCATATGATACCTGAGAAATTTTATACGATGACCTTCCAGCCTGAGAAGGTACACTATTTGACTCATTTTATAACAAGAGTTCTGCAATTTAATGATCATGTGATATCTAGCAGCTAATCATGCTCTGCCTTTACTTGTCACTGAATGATGTAGCTTGATGATTGGCTCGAGAGATTGATAGAAGAAAAAGGAGAGGATCTATACAGAATGAAAGGGGTGTTGTCAGTTGATGGCTCTGATCAAAGATATGTATTACAGGTCCCCCTCATCTTATCTTGCCTCCATTTCCTTTTTGTAATTCTTTTATAGTCTTGTCTGATATGGAGGGGAAAATAATCTCAATCCTTTACATTCTCAAAAGTAGATGCATAAAAACAATTTTGTTAACGCTCCAAATATATGATGAATGTATGAATGCAGATGATTTAATTTGACTTATGCCTGAACATATAAACAGAAGAAGGTTAAAGCCACAAAAAAACAGAATTGACAATTAAACTGCCAATAGAAATATTTAGTCTATTAGTGATATGTAAATATTGTTATAAGCATTCTTTGATTTGTGTTGTCTATTCTAACTAATGAAACTGCGCGACATAACTCATGGAAACTTTAATTATTAAAAAAAATCAGTTTGGATCTTTTGCGTTCATACAAGTATAGCATGTTCTAAAAGAAAAGGAAAAGAAATTGTAAATTTAAGGATAGGACATAGACTTAAAATATAATTACATTCTTTTGTGTCCCTCTTTCAAAATGCATGAATGTAAGAATGCCCATAATAATCATTCTCATTTTTCTTTTACATATATGTAGGGAGTGCATTCCATGATGGATGGGTGCCCTGGAAAAACTTGGGGACCTGAGGAGAAGAGGATGAACAAGCTTGTGTTCATAGGAAGGAATCTCAATGAAACTGCCCTTAGGAAAGGATTCAAAGGTTGCCTTGTCTGATAGTAATTAATATGAAATTTTGTCTCACAGGTCAACTTCCATACAAACATAATATGCCCTTTGGACGCGGTTTTAAACATTGCCGCGCCATCAGTGTAGCACTGCCAGACAGACAATTTTATTCCTGCTTAAGATTCAATGGGTGGACAGAATTTCTGTGCATCATGTGCATCCATAGCGCACCTCCTCTAGAAGGTCCATCATATTGTCATTTCTTGCTAGGCGTTTTACTAATTCTTCTAAGTTAACTTCTATTTTGTATCTTTTGACCAACAGAAAAATTATACTTGGTATCTTTTTGTTAAGAAAATTATATTTTATATTTTTAACAATTTGATGTAGGGGGAAAGTTTTCCTCGATTTTTTGTTGTAGGAAAGTGGTTTTTCTTGTTATACTTCTGGATTTCATTTAGATTAAGGTTTTTCAAAAGAAGAATTAGTTTTGAGGATGCATTTTATATATTAATTTAATTTTATTCATTTTATTTTTAAATTGTTCCAAAACATTCTAAGTCCAGGTATCAAAGAAAACCATTGACTTTATTCCAAGGAAGGAAAAAATAAAGGAAGGGCGTAAACTGTTGGATTGAATGCCAAATCTGATCCATTAATTTGTTTAAAGCATGATATGAAAATGAAAATGAAGTTGTAATAGTAAGGAATAAAATCTTGGCACATAGGTGTGAAAAGAAGACGACAAGAAGTCAATTCTTGTTTCCAAAACAAACCAGAAAAAGATATGAAGACAAGAAGGGGTATTTGTCATTTTAAGGAAATTGAATTTTCAGTAAAGGGAATGACAAAAATACACGCACGTTATTAGTGAGGGGTCAGTTGCTCAATTGAAGAATGTCTAGATTTTTGTTTTCGGGCCAAGTAAGATATTAAGCTTTAATTTTGATTATGAGAAGTGAAGCGTAAATAAATAAAATATCTCAATGGCTTTTTTTTTTTTACCAGCAATAAAATATCTCAATTTAAATTGTACTCCTTCGGTCCTTAATATAGGACCCAATTGGTGAGTTGGTTTTGGTCCTAAATATAAGACCCATTTCTCATATTTATCAATTATCTCTAAATTACCCCTATGGATACCCTTTCAACCATAATCAAGTAGAAGAGAAAGATGAGGTATTAAGCAATATGATTATGGTATTTTAGAAAAAAACGTGTCATATTTCTTATAATTAACTAACTTATCTAACTTTCTTAATCTAATCAAATTAGTTAAATGGGTCTTATATTAAGGACCAGAGGAGTATATTAAAATAATTATTTAATTTAAATATAAAATTATAATTTTTTAAAAAATTATTATTTGATTGAATAATTGATTCAGCCTATCAATTTATAAAATTTAAATTTATGCAAGAGATTCTCTCTGTTTTTTTTTACGCTTATCTTTTTAAACTAGTACTCCTCCGGTCCTAAATATAAGATCTTAATATACACTAGTATAAGGGTCTTACATTTAAGACCGGAGTATATTTTATGGAGGAGCTCATCACGGAGCCAACAATTCTAATGCGAATATCCCGCTGTCATTTCTCTCACGGACAAATCGAAACGTGTCTGCTTCGTGGGGCCCATCGGCCCTTGTCCTTGGGCCCAACTTCAATGGGCCGAATATTCTGTTCTCACTGTTCGGCGCCGAATATTCCACGCTGGCATCTACGTGTCACTTCTTCCTTTTTCTAGTATAGCCCCCTCTATTTTCCGGCTTCTGAAACCTACTTTCTTGCCGTTGGATCATACCACTTCCGGGGACTTGTTCAAATCTAACGGTGGACGAACGGAGCAGGCATGGGCGTTCACGGGGCACACAGTAGTTCCTCTGAGCGAGGAAATTGAATAATATGGGTGCCACGATGTTGCTTCAGATTCGTCGCCGAGCTTCGCTCCAACATGTTCCGTTTCAACAAATTGTTCAATGAATATGCTAATTCTATAAAAACCCACATAGCATCGCATTCACGCTTTTGTTTCTGAATTCTGAATGCTCTGTCTTCTTTCGTCTCTGGGCGATTCCAATTGGCTGTCAATTTTCAATTCCGCGTCACTTTGCTGTGAGAACAGAGATCGTTCTTGAGTTTTTTTGGGCTGTAGTTCTTGTTAAAGTAGTAGAATTCTGTGAGAGTGATATTACTGTTGTTGGGTTCTCTGATCGCTTCTTTTACTTGTTGCTTTTGGGACCTGATGATCGAATGGAGGCGCTGTTTAGCTGAGATATAGAGCAAAATCAGCAAGTGGGATTCGGGTTCGGATTGGTATTGATTGGGTAGAAAGAGATATAAATAGGAAAATCGAAGGGTGTTCTTGAGGTGTGAGTGATTGAGACTGATGGACAGGGATTATGAAGGAGGAGGGAATTTTGGGTTTGAAAATGCTGTGGTGATGACAAGAGATCCCAAGCCAAGGCTCAGATGGACGGCTGATCTTCATGATCGATTTGTCGATGCCGTCACCAAGCTTGGTGGCCCCGACAGTACGTACTCTTCTTCTTTTGATCTGTCAATTTTTCATCGCTCTCAAAAGTTGTCATAACTGAAACTAAAGTTAGTTTCAATTGACTATTCAAAGAGGATAAAAGAGAAAAGATGATGAGAGGATCTTCCTATTCGCTCTAGAATATATATACTGTTTGTGTGAAATCTGACATTTTATTTACTTTTATCTTCATCCATATAACACTTGGCAAATTCATTATTTGCTTTTTGCTTCTTTTTTAGTATAACTATCTATAGATTTTTCTCCTGATATCCATGTATAGCTGGTAAAAGGAAACCTGAAATTGGTAATGAAACTACCAAACCACTCCATGAAGCTTCTGAGCTCTGGTTTGTTTCAGAGTATATAAGCCGTAGTCTGGAATTTTCAAACTCCGTCCAAATGGCTTAGTGCACCAAATGTTCTCTCCTGTTACGCAATACACTTCGGTTTGAAAAATGGTTTACTTTGTTTTCAGAAGCGACTCCCAAGTCTGTGTTGAGGCTGATGGGCTTGAAAGGCTTGACTTTGTATCATTTGAAGAGCCATTTACAGGTAATCAGACTCTATATTCTTTCCTCTGCCTCAGAAGAATGTGAATTAAGAAGTAAAAAATATATGAAGTGAGTTGAAATGAAGTTATGAGTGAAAATCAACAATTTGAAACGTCTTGAAATAGACTCGCTCATTTCTGACCAAAAAAGAAAGACTATAAAAAATGAAATTATTCTTGTGCTAGCTTTGTTCAGTATGTACATTATGTACTGCTTCCTTTGCCCTTTTGCCTTGCATCCTTCGATGTCGCTCTTTGTCCTAGCTATCACTACATATTTTCCATTTAAAAGCATAAGAGTTATATAACAAAGCTTGTTCATGTGCAGAAATATAGACTTGGACAGCAGGCCCGGAAGCAAAACAGTGAAGAACAACACAAAGAGAACAATAGTGGTAAGGCCCTCTTTACAGTTCTACCTATAAATATTTTGGACGAGTTTCCTGTTATAAAATTCCTTGTTTCTGTTTTCCTTTTCCCCCTTACTTTGTAGGAGGTGCATATGTAAATTTTAGTGATCGTTCTTCGGGACCTAGCACCAATTACAGAGGCAATACCCAAACAGAGTAAGTTGAAGTCTAACCCAAATTGCAGCTTCAATGCTTTCTTCTGTTAGCCAGTTTCACGAATCAGTTTACAAAACTACTTGCTATTCTGCTCTGAGGATCTGTTAACATATTCTGAAAACTTGAGGTTATAATTAAGATCCCTGCTCTGAGAACTTAGAGTAGTCCCTTGTGTCAGCATACAGACAGAGTGCCCTGAACTTGATTAAAGAGATGTTAGGATAGATTTGATCTGCTGAGGATAAGCATATCATGCCAACTATGGATAAATGCGAAAATTTGTCAGAGGCAAATTATAAAAGGTGTCTAATTTGCTTACATAAATTATTATGCTTTGAGATTTTGGTAGAATTTATGGTAAATTTAGATACACATTCCATTTCAAAGCCTCATTTTTAGAATGTAACAAATTAATTAATAACTAGTTGGCAAAAACCAATCAGGGAAATCCCATTAGAAGAGGCACTGAGGCGTGGGGTCGAAGTCCAAAAGCAATTGGAAGAGCAGCTTGAGGTATTTATTATATTCACTTAATGTTACTGAATTTTTCATACAGAATTTCCTTGTTGGGATAATAGGAATTTGCTGTTAATTTTCACTTTTGGATTCAAAAAAATTTCTTTGTTACCAATAGGTACAGAAGAAACTGCAGATGAGAATAGAGGCTCAAGGGAAGTATTTACAAGCCATGCTTGAGAAAGCACAGAAGAGCCTTTCCCTGGACATGAATGGACCAAACAACCTAGAAGCAGCAAGAGTTCAATTGACAGACTTCAACTCTGCTTTGTCCAATTTCATGGAGAATATGAAGAGAGACAACAAAGAAAACATCATGGACATGAATGATTTCTACAAGAAGGCCCACAGTTCATCGGCTTTCGGAATTTACCAGGAAGCCGAGGGAGAAGAACACAAGGATCAAAAGCCTAAGGTTGCAGAGGGTTCAATACAGTTTGACTTAAACATCAAAGGCAGCTATGACTTTGTATCAGGTGCAGCTGAAATGGATTCCAAGATGCTTTCATACAGATTGTAAAAAATTTTGAGCTGTCCTGTGCCTATTACAGGATGATCTATTCTTCATGATTTTTTTTTTGGGAGTCTCTTTTGAGTAAAAATATAAAGATATAAATTTATCTCCTGTTCTAAAAGGGAAGTTTATTCCATTAGTTCCGATATATTTTTTTTAAACCATGACAATCACTCAGAGCAAACACATTTTATATTTTGAGTCTTCACATTCAACGGAGATCTAAACATAACTTACTGTTGAGATAGGGTTTTGTCTCCCTATTTTAGGAGAAATCTTGAGCATTTAAGATCTTAGTTTCGAATTTCATTGACAGATATTCTTTAGATGGATCAAATTATAATAAACCAATAATTTCTTTTAAAAAATAAATAATAAATAGGTTATGTCCATATATAGACAATTTTTCTTGTTATTTTAGTGAGATTCACCTTCAATACAGCTCTTTATTGTTTCGAGTTCAGAGTTATATATTGGGCATATTTTGTCAAAGTCAAACCAAACATGGATACACAACAGCCATATTGTCATCTTCCATATAAAACCAACCCCCGGGATGTTCTCGGGTCGGATACCCGCCCCACCCTAATCTGGGAAGAATGAACATCCTTGCTACTTGCACACAACAATGCTGTTGATGTCTAACCTCAGAGATAGATCCTAAGGTATTCATCCATGCGCGTGTACTTCACCTCCGGATAAAGCTCTGATGCTTCTTCTCCATCTTCTCCGATTTCGAAATTTGTCAAACAGCCTTCATAATAGATATGGTAAAAATGCCCAATTCCCACTTGCGCTGCGTAGTCCAAACCTGCATTTTCACGAACCATAGGATTTAACTAGAGCGCCTGTTAACCAGATTGTACGGACTAAGTTGAACATTGATATTGACGGATCCACATTTTGTTAGGTTTAAACTTTACCTTCCATGGAGGAAAGAAGATCATGTTCTGATAAGCTGGACTTGTCGAGTTCCCTTCCCAAAAGTTTCTCCCACTTCTGAATCAGCTGTCGTTGGGACAGGATGTTGTCTGGTGGTCTTATGTAGACCGTCTTGTTCAGAGTTCGCGGATCATCGATGGTTTTGATTGTGTATGTGGCGACATCATCTTCGTCCACAAAAACAACTGCACAAAATGTCGCGATCCTCATCGGAAATATCGAAAACTCGGCGATCTTATAATTCTAGACCATTTGTTTCAGACTAAAATTGTAGTACCTTTAACATTGCCATCTCCGTAGAGAATGACCTTGTCGGTGGGAGGGAAGAGGTGCCCATCTGAGAGAGGTTGCCGGCGAAGTAGCCGGCGAAGCAGTTAGCAGAAACGTAAGTGAAAGGGATGTTGGCTTCATGTATGGCTTTTCTCACTCTCATTTTCTCGTCAAATGATACTCTGCCTGGTTCTAATGCATGTCCCATGCGTGATGGGTCCATCCCAAACTCCGACGGCAAGAATCTCTGTATCAAATAGTAAAACGTGAAAGTACAAAAGGTGGAGCTCCTTGAAGAAAGAGTTTAAAGAATACATTCTTTAATGAATTGAGTGCAATTATTGTCATTCATCTGTCATTTTCCTTTAGATTAGCCAATGTGAACTAAAAAGATTAAGCTAACGTTTGAATTGATTTATAAGTAACCTTTCTCAACGTGATTGATGAAATACTAAAAATATATGAGAAAAGTTTTGTTTAAACTAGCTTACGTGAATTTGTTTAAAAGTTTTTTTTGAACAGAATTCCGAACGAGCCCTAAAAAATTATTATTTTGCTAATATGGGTATGTTAATATCAGATTCAAAACCATGACTTCGTTCAAGTGTGACGAGTTGTATTAGACAGCTTGCTATTGACATTTTGGCCTAAATTTTAAAACCATACTAAAAAATCTTCACGGGATCATGAAAGAAATTCAGCTTAAAAAAAACAAAAGCATTTTGCATGTTAAAAGACTTTTATGCCCAAGTTGTTTCTTAACAATTCTAAAAATTAAACCACCCCTTCAAGTAAATGTATATGATAATTAATGAAATGTCAGCCACTCAATCTTAGATGGTCACATTTTCTTCTTCTGCCACTCTCTCTCGGACACATGAACACAGAAATCCAATTTAGTTAATTAAAATTAAATGAATTAAAGTTGATGTGTTGCATGTCGGTGGATGGTTACCTTGACGTTGCCGGCATCTTTGATGGCCTCAACAAGCTTCAGCTGCAGCAGCAAGTTATGGCTCCGGAAGTGAACGCCGGACATGGCGCAGATGACGACGTCGACCTTCTTGATGGCATCAACGAGGCTCCGGTGATCGGAGAAGGAGGCCGGAAGAAGACGAGCACCTTGCTTCTTGAAGGACAAGAGCATCTGAAGCTTGTCAGTGTCAAGGCCTATCTCAGGACGTTGAAGAACATAAGTCTCATGGCCTTCTGCAAGACTCGCCTTCACTAGTCTCCTTCCCATGTACCCTGTGCCTCCCACCACCAGAACCTTGCTCTTCCCCATCAGGTGTTTCCCTTTTCTTTCTTTTCTCTTCCGAATTCTACACTGCTGGCTAGATATACGCTTTCTTGTCTCAGGATGCAAATATTATTAATTATATACGTGTACATATCTAAATGGATACTGTCTTTTCAACAAACCTTCAGTATCTTTGAAATTTGTTGTTACCTAAGTTTCAAAGTTGGAACAGTCACTTAAATCTAGAAGGTTTGTTGATTAGCTCAATTGTGGATGAAAATTATTCTTTATATAGTTTGGGGAAAATTCGTTATTAATAGTGTGTGTAGCTTGAAAATTGCATATAAAAGAACTTGAATTTGAATAGTTGCAGGTTTTTTTTTCAAGTGAAAGGTGCAATTTTTCTTTGATTATGTGTAATACGTCTTTAGTTATATGTAAATGAGGCTCTTATTTTGAAATTTTTTATAAATAGTTAAAAATAAGTTGCATAAAGAGTACCCATCGAAGATGAGTCACGTAAGGTCCTTTTGCCTGATAGAATTTTTAAGCAAGTATTTTTAACTAAGCTTCTCTATAGTTTATACATGCATGTGAAATTAATATACATAATATTAAATTAAAACTAAATGCACTATAGATTATGCAGGTGGTTCTATCTTGATACGATGGAATTGGTGATTCGAGAGATAGGAATTAATTTGATTCATTTAAATTAAATCTAGAATATTTAAATTTAGATTTTGATAATAATTTCTTAAATATCAAGTTTAAATCATCTAAATATGAAATCATGCTATTCATGTCAATTTTTTTTTAAAAAAGTAATTTTTGAAAGCAGTTTTACTTGTTAGGTAGGCGTGCTAAAAGTGAAAATGCATCAGTTTAACATGCAAGTAACGTGACAAGGGACCATGGGCTTAAAGTTGGATTTTGGTAGTCACTTAATGAGGCAATCATAAATTAACTGTGTTTTTGCCACACAAAAGAAGATTATATACTTAAACACACACACACAACCCGACCAGAAATCAGATGCACAGACAAAGATCCAACACTAAAAAACCCAAACCAACCGGGAAGTGAAGGCCAGATCCTAAAAACAACACAAACCCAACCCAAAGGAGGACACAGTCATTTTTTTTTGGGGGGGGGGGGAAAGGCCCAAGAAAATAAACTTTAGAGGAAATTGCAAATAACTCCCAAATATGTAAAATTACGATTTGAGACTCTAAATTTAAAAAATAACAAATAAGGACCTCGTTCCACTTTTGCAAATATAATATATGGGTAAAATGTCTGAAATGCCCCTAAGTCAAATAACAAGTTAACTATGACAAATAACAAATTCATTTTAGCGAATTACAACTTTAGTAGACTAAGTCATAATTTATTTAAGAGCATGCCAAATAACGAGTTGATTATAGGAAATGACAAGTTCATTTTAGCGAATAACAATTTTATTAGAATAAATTACAATTTGACTAAAGGGTATTTCAGCTATTTTACCCACATTTCATATTTACAAAAACATAATTGAGTCCTTATTTGTTATTTTTCAAATTTAAGGTACCAAATCATAATTTTACATATTTGGAGGGTCTTTATTTGCAATTTTTCCTAAACTTAACCCCTAACAAAAAAATTAACCTTAATGTTGTATCAAAAAACAAAAAACCTTAATAATGAAATCATTAGTTGGTTGACTTACTTATATGTGTACAAATTGACAATTGAGCATGAGAGGGAGAGAACTAATCTTCACACACAAGCGCTTCAATTGGATTGATAGTATTTTATATTATTTCGGTCTTAAATATAAGACCCATTCTGTAGTTTTATATTTAGGAATTACACTGTAGAATGTGTCTTATATTTAGAGCTTGAGAGAGTATATTTCATTTTGAATAAAAATATTAACAAAACTTAATTTTAAAAATAACAGAACTCGAATTGCCCAAAGGTTGAGATAAACTAATTAAAATACAATCAACTGGGGGAAATCCAAACAAACTGATTACCAAAAAAAAAAAAAGGATCCAAACAAAGCGCACGCACGGGGCCAGGAAAGTGGGCAGAGCATCATGAAGTGAATGACGCACGACCACGTTAACTCAAACATGATTACAAAAAACCAATCAACTCACTTAAATGAAATCAAATGCTTAATTATTATAGAAGGGCAAGGCTATAGATATATCTTCAGGTATTCGTCCATGCGCGTGTAGTTCACCTCCGGATAAAGCCGCGATGCTTCTTCTTCATGTTCTCCGATCTCAAAGTTTGTCAAACATCCTTCATAGAATATATGGTAGAAATGCCCCACTCCCACTTGCCCTGCCAAGTCCAAATCTGCATTTCCATTTTCCACCACCCAACGCATATATTAATTAATTCTGCTCAAGACAGTATTATAGTACTTTTTTTTCTGGTTTTAAATACTACAAGACTTCGATTTTTGTCTTAATTTGTTTTGGTACGTAGCATGCGTTTATGTTCACCTTTCATGGAGGAGAGAAGGTCGTGTTCCGATAAGCTAAACTTGTCAAGTTGCCTTCCCGACAGTTTCTCCCATTTCTCAATCAGCTCTCGTTGAGACAAAATGTTGTCTGGTGGCCTTAGATACACTGTCTTGTTCAATGTTCGAGGATCGTCGATTGTTTTCACCGTGTATGTCGCCACATCATCTTCGTCCACATAAACAACTGCGTAAATAATTCAATCATTGTTATCTCGAAAATCCTTCATCGTATACTAACTCTCCGTTCTTAATATAAGAGTTAAATAATTCATTTGAGGATATATTGAGAAAATTAGTTAAGTTAATTATTTGTCACAAATGCATGTTGATCTCTTTAAAATATCTTCTTTAATCATATGTATTAGATGATTGTAATTATCTCTCGGTAGGAATTCCTTACCACTAATAGAGACATCTGAGAAAAAAATGAGAGACAAAGTAGATTAGTGTCTTGTATTTAGAACCAAATTTAACTCCCCAGTTAGCTTTTATATATATTAGGAACAGAAGGTAGCATAAGATTAACCCTAGCTCTCTCTCTCTCTCTCTTGTATACATGAATGGAAATGACATCGAATCGATGAGAAAATACGATGATGATAATGGTGTGTTGTTGTTACCTTTAACGTTGCCATCTCCGTAGAGGGTGACCTTGTCTCTGGGAGGGAGGAGAGTGCCCATCTGAGAGAGGTTTCCGGCGAAGTAACCAGCGAAGCAGTTGGCGGAGACGTAGGTGAAAGGGATGTTGGCTTCCTGTATGGCTTTTCTTACTTCCATTTTCTCGTCAAACGTCACCCTTCCTGGTTCTAATGCGTTTCCCATGCGTGCTGGGTCCATCCCAAATTCTGACGGCAAAAATCTCTGCACCAAAAATTTAATTAATTCTGTATATATGTTTCATAATATCTCATATTTTATTTTAATTATTATTTTTTACCTAATATTCCTAATTAATTGTACGATCCAAATGGAGAAAGCTAAGATAGCTTATGTGTGAATGGGTTCATATCAGTTCTTTTTTTTTTGGGGGGGGGGGAGTATTTGTAGCAATAAATAGCACATTTATAGTGATCGCGTCGGAGAAGAACCCACCATTATTCAAATAAAAATTATGATGCATATTATAATAATATGTGCTGAATGGTGGACATATGCCTACATCAATCATAAATTTCATTTGAGTGGTGGGTTCTTTTCTGGCACTGTTGCCTTCTTAAAGATTTTTTTTAAAGAATTTAAATATATATTTTATACTGAAATAAAAATGAAAACGCACTGTCAAAACCTGTGTGAAAGGAAATTCACAAGAAAAAGTCAACCAATTGTGTCCCCTACCTCGTTAAAATTAGTTTAGTTGTCTACCCATTGGGTTTCAGAAAAAATAGGAGTTGAGATCTTTTTTTTCCTCCTAATATTTTATGAATATATATATGTATATAGAATAGATTAGATGTAAATGTAGATTTTAATGATGTGGTTATTTTCTATATATATATATATATATATATTTTAATTTTAAGGAAATGGTGAAGTGACTTGGAAAATATCGAGCTACCTGCTGGTCAATTTCATACGTGTGGTGGCATAGGTACTTGATATTGTCAAAATTAAGTTTGAATTTGATTATTCTATAATACTTTTAAATAAATATTCAAACTCACCACCAAGTAAACAAAGAAAACTTTCATCTCTCATTTTCAACCAGGCTAAGCATATACGTCATGAACTTGAAAATATTTGAAACATAAAAATAGTAATACTGCCTCAATATATATTTTCTACTTGGATTTGGCGAGTCTATTTTATTTCTTGTTTTTTTCCCAAGTTGATCCATATAAAATAACGTGGGCTTCATCATTTAATTTGAGTGAGCCTCTCTCTTACCCATTCGAACATAACTCACTGATTCTTATTCACTGGATCTCATACAATCAACCAAAAAGGGGGGGGGAGAAGAGAAAATACATTTAGACAATAATTATTAATCATACAAGTTAAAGTTAAAATTACATGCCTTGTACAAATTAAGAAAATTAGTCAAAGTTATTTTTCATTCCAAATTAAAACTTAACTTCAATTTAACCCTTCATGAATGATATTTCCCTTAAACTTCTTTTCTTGTTTTGTTAACTCTCCAAATAAGCATTTAAATGACATAGAAGATATTTAACTACTATATTTTAGAGCCTATAAATGTCAGGGGGGGAAAAAAGGAGCAAGATCTTGAATTAATGAATATTTTTGTCGAATGATATATATGTACCTTAACGTTGCCGGCATCTTTGATGGCCTCGACAAGCTTGAGCTGCACCAACAAGTTGTGGCTCCGGAAGTGAACGCCGGACATGGTGCAGATGACAACGTCGACCTTCTTGACAGCGTCGACGAGGCTCCGGTGATCGGAGAAGGAGGCCTGAAGGAGACGAGCACCTTGCTTCTTGAAGGACAAGAGCATCTGAACCTTGTCAATATCAAGTCCAATCTCAGGACGTTGAAGAACATAAGTCTCATGGCCTTCCGCAAGACTCGCCCTCACCATTCTCCTTCCCATGTACCCTGTGCCTCCAACCACCAGAACCTTGCTCTTCCCCATTTTCTCTCTCTGCTCTTCTCCAGCTAGCTAGAAACACAGGGACTTAGCTTATATATATAAGCCTTATATGAAGCCGAATACATATATATGTATATATCTATATATAGGATTCAATATTAATGTAAAGAAAAAGGGGCGCGCGCGTTGTTTTAAATTATATTATATTCCTGGCAGTGCAAGTTACCATTGCCGAAAAGGGGCAATTATTCTAATGCACACGCATAGACTCTAAGAGGCCGGGTCGGTGTCCTAATTAATTGAGTTTTGACAAGATCTTCTCCTTATTTCTGAACCATACATTTCTAAAAGTATTTACTTCATAAGTCATCTCTATAAATCCGATCTTATTAATTAGTCAATATTTAAATAAAAGGAAAATTGGTTAAAAGGAACAGAAGTACAGAAATACCATAGTTTAAATGATCTATATTGAATTTTTTATATATTTTTAAATTTCAGGACAAAAACCAGCAATAGAAAGGTCCTTGCTTAATTTATGCTCTGCGTTAACAGTGAAAGATATTTTTATTTCCTTATTAACCCTTTTTTTCCAATAAACATTAAAATAATATAATAATATAATGTTATTGTATGCGTGTGTACGTGGTTCATGTGATTGGTTGATATATAATTGTCAAGTGCTTAACGTGCTTACTTTTTAGGGTTCTATATAACATGCAACACATTTGTTTGGTGGGGTTTGGTGCCACCCTGATTAAGTTGTTGAGTAAAGTAAGTTCTTTTTTCTTCTCCCTAGGATCTTCAAAATTGAGTTGGTGACATTTGAAAACCGAGCTCTTCTTATTGAAATAAAAACATTGCAGCATATATAATTAGGTTATTAAGTTATCGTCGTATATTAGCAGAGTGGTTTCAACATGCGCGCATATGAACATGTGAATTTATTACCATATAATATTACTTTTTTGCCGCTTAAAAACAATAAACAGATGGTTTGAGCTTAAGAGATACTACTTCCGGTCCTAATTATAAGAGTTAGTTGACTAATTTGAAGAGATTAAGGAAAGAAGTTAAGTTAGTTATTTATAATAAATATGTATTGTCTCTCCTAAAACATCTTTGTTAATCAATTATATTGGCTAAAACTATCATTGTTAGAAGGACTACCTTGGGGAAAAAATGTATAAATATGAGAGACAAAATGAATTGGGATTTTATATTTATGATCAAAATAAAAGTCAAGTAATATCTTATATTAAAGACTAGAGATAGTATTTTACAACCTCTCAATAAATGAACCATTTTTACAAGAATACGTGACAAAACAACAAAAAGAGGGCGGAAAAAACTCAAGGGGAAGAATGTTTCAAAGGAAAAATTAAACTAGCGCTTATAGACGCTAAGAGCGGTTATTTATTTTTCAACAAACACTTTTTTTTTATAGACAACGGTGGAACACGAGAGTACACACTTAAAAAAAAGGTGTTTGTCCATGAAAAGAAAGAGGCATGCCAAAAGGATTCTTTCTTTAACACAGCCATACACAATATTCATATACTCCTCCGGTCCTTATTGTAAGACCCAATTTGACTTTTTATTTGGTCCTAATTATAAGACCCAATCCATTTTGTCTCTTATATTTATGCATTTTTTTCCAAGATAATCCTTCTAATAATGATAGTTTTAGCCAATATACTTAATTACCAAGGATATTTTAGGAATGACAACACTTATTTATTATAAATAACCAACTTAACTTACTTCCTTAATCTCCTCAAATAAGTCAATTGAGTCTTATAATTAGGACCGGAGGAGTACAATAGGTATTTTCCCTCCCAGGGCACTGTGATATAATATGTGATGATATGAATGGAATTATATACTTGTTCTCATATATACTATCTCCAGTCTTCAATATAAAAATTAGTTAACTAATCTGAGTATATTAAAGAAGTTTGTTAAATTAGTTATCTGTAACAAATATGTGTTATCTTTCCTAAAATATCCTTATTACTTGATTAGTCATATCATTTGATGAAACGTTTAATATGTGCAACTACTACAAGAATTACTTTGAGAAAAAAAAATAAATATGAGAGATAAAGTGTATTAGAGTCTTATATTTAGGACTAAACTGAAAGTTAAACTAGTTCTTAAGAACTGAAAGTATTATATTACAAGTCACTTTTAAAAGCTGCCCTGTATTTAGGGTTGAAGGTAATATATTAGTTAATTACATTCGTGATTAATATGATATTTAGATCAAATTATGAAAGCCGTCCACGTTGAATTCGTCATCATTTTTCTTGCCTTAATAATATGTGATTAATAATAATTGGCGCGTCCGCGTTTCCATATGGTGAATGGAGGAGGTGGGAGGTGGCGGTCTTTGTTGCCATATACTACAAGCGAAGAATAACGTAGCATGATTTATATTCTGAAGAATTCGACATGCTGACGTCTTCATTACGAGATGTATTAATATTAATGAATTAATCAATTATTAAAAATAGCGTCCTCACTCGGCTTTGGCCGGAAAATAGAAAAGAAAAGAAAACATTCACATTCACAGTCACATCATCGTGTGAATTAAGCCCTAACCTTGTGGGTACCACATTTGATTTATGGGTACTACATTTAATTTAATTAATAATGGTCTGCATGAAAAAATAATTTTCAAAAATAAAAATAAAAATTTAGCGAATTAATTTACCTAAAAATTCCGGATGGCTCCTAATTGATAATTTACTTCATAAACATCAGGAAGGAAAATTCGACGGCTGTGTGTGATATATATCTCTTTTAGTTTTTTTTTTTTTTTGGTTTTTACGAAAAAAAATCACCTGTATTAAGAATTAAAAAAGTTTATGAAAGTAGCACGCGTAGACTTAATAATTTCAACTGACTCGGAGAGTTTTTTTTTTTTTTTTGACAAAAGAGATATCGGAGAGCATTCTTTTAATGAAATTTATTTGTGCATTAATTAAGAGCCGCCCAGCTGGCTCCCGCTCACCCATCGGCCACTATCTTTTTCCAAGTTTATTTTATTGAAAAAAAAAATTTCAGGATAAACTCCACTAATGGACCATGGGCTTCAATGACAATATTTTATTGGATATCAATCGAGGGACAATTGTGTCTCCAGCACTTAGTGTGGCAACCCATTTGTTGAAATTTTAAATCTTCCACTTTTAAAATTCCCAATTGGGTCAACTTTAGATTCCTTTTTATAGATAAGCATGATTGAGATCTCCATGGAGTTTTATGTTATCACCCCATGTTTTGTCATTATATTCTCAATATATATACTTCTATCATCTTATTTACAAAATAGTAATAAAAAGTAATTTCTTCATGTTCAAAATATAAATATCAAATAATTGACCTACACAACTTTAAAAAATAGTTAAAATTGGTTAAAGACAATAAATATTAAAAAATAAAAAATACAATTTATTTTTCTAAAATACTCTTATTCATGGAGAAGGTAATTTAGAGAGAGAATGAGTAAAAAAGAGACAGAGAGAATAGTAAAAAAAATAGATGAAAGAGTCATATAATTAATTAAGGATGAAAATGAAAAGAATGTATTAAATAATTAGATAAATCCAAATTATAGCTTGAAAAAAAAAACCATTCCAAACTTTATATGCTTATATTTTAAGTGGAAGGAGTGCTTTTTATTTAACATAAATTATCTTATTAAATTTATTATATAATCATACAATTTTACTTATAAGCCCATTCCTCAACTGGCTTTATATTTCTCAGTTGATCAGAAGTTAAAAACAAGGGAGACTGCGGCATTTTAGCAGCGCAAATCTAAAAAGCATGTGGAGAAAATTGTGATTTAATATGGGCTGGCACGAAGGGAAAGTGTTTAGCCTTTTTTGCTTTTCTGTGGGTTGGGCCTTTGGTTGAGTTCCGTTCTTTGATGGTTGTAAAGAGGCCCAACAAATTTGCATCGTTTTACTTTATTTGAATTGAATAAAATCAGTCTTTTTATTTAAAACAAAAAACTACATTGGACGGGCGGCCCAGTGAAGCCCAGTGAAGTTGGCAAGCACCATGAAGTGAATATTTGTTTGTGGGTCAACGTGAATCGCACCCGCCCACGTGGACTTGGAGTGTGATGAGTCATCATCATCAAAGCAAAACAAGCATGATCAACTGCGAATCAAATTACTTAATGAAATCAAAGTTTATGAGTAAATTAAACATAAGAACTCAGAATTAATAATAATTCTTTTTTTTTTAATGCATATAACCAAATCCTACAAATATTTCCTAAGATATTCGTCCATGCGTGTGTAGTTCACCTCCGCTCCGGATAAAGCCGCGATGCTTCTTCTCCGTCTTCTCCGATCTCAAAGTTGGTCAAACATCCTTCGTAGAATATATGGTACAAACTCGGCGGGAGATTTTACTGAAGAGAACCAAACCCATCATGAGGCGACATTTCTAGTTTCTACTGCAAATTCTCCCACCCACCTTCCTTCCTCCTTCCACGAAACTCAAACACCTCTCGTGATCCGATCGATTTCTTTGAAGCTAAATAAATCTGAGGAAAAAGCTTCATACTGTGGGGGACATGAGGAGCGTTCCATGGAATAGCATTCAAAAGCTGAACAAGATTACAGTGTCTAACTTGCTGGACTTCTACTTAATCATCTCCCGCAACTCATGCACGGCTTCCTCAACCACGGCGCCTCGTCATCCTTCCTCTCTCTCTCTCCCCTTTCCAAATAAGAATCTGACCTGAAGCTTACTAAGATGCCACTTCAGCTCTATTGTCTGCCACATGGACAGTCTCAATCAGTTTCAGCAATTTTAGGAACAAAGTTGTGCAAGAACTAAAATATTAATTTTTCCTATGTTTTAAACTTTATTAATTTTGTTTATATTATAAAATTTATAATTTAATTTTTCCTCATATTTGTTGTAAGTTATGTTTTTCTAGGCTTCTTTCAAATGACTGTAATTATATTTTATTTTTAATATTTCTGAGCAAAAGCTAAAATTATATTTCAAATGCATATTTTTATGTTTATATTAATTAAATTATTTGAGCTTCCATCCATATATAATAAGGAAAAAAATTTTAAATTATTCAAAACACTTTTAGTCAAAATTAGAGATATTTAGTACAATAAAGGATAAGATAGTAAATAAAATTTATTTTAATATAAATTTAATTAAAAAAATATTTTTTGAGTATTTTAACTAAGTCAATGATTTAAACTTGAAGGCATAAGTATCCAATTTGCTATAATTTTACTTTCATATTTTTGATAATGCAATATCGTGATGTATATAAAATTTAAAATAAAAATTATTTACTAACTGTCGGACATTTTAAAAGTATTAATTAAAAAATTTAACTGTGAATCATTAAAATTGTATTTAATACAAATGTCAATGCACTCACCATCCACCACTAGTTCCAAAGCTGAGGTGCCATCTTGGTTCTAAATCTAAGTCACTTATATTATATATAATGTTTATTTTTATTAAAAAAAGAGAAAGAAGAGAGAAATATGAGTAGGCTTTGTAAATATGGATAAAAAATTTTAATAAATGGAAAATTAAAAATTTTTTGTGATTTATTGTATTTCTTAGTATTTAAAGATGTGCTACAACTTACAAGGGGTTTGAGAGGCAAGGAGTTAGACATTTACGCTATGTTTGGTACGGGGTTTTCGGAGGGGAGGGGAGGGAAGTTGCTTCCCTCCCCTTGTTTGGCTGGTATAATTTTTTAGGAGGGGAGGGGAACTCTTTCCCTCCCCTCGTTTGGTTAAGATGTTTTTTAAAGAGGGGAGGGGTTCTTCTCCCCTCCCCTTCCCTTCTAGCCTCCCCTCCAAAAGTGGGGTTTTTTAGAGGGGAGGTGAGAGATGATATTTTAATTCCTTATATGTCCTTTCGATTTGTTAACCTCTAATCAGTCATAAACATTTCTACATAAGAGAGTTCTTTTGAGCATCTAATAAGAGGTTATTAAGATAATTATTTCCAAAATTAGTGAGCATTTGTAAACTTTTTTTCTCTTCTTCTAATTCTAAGAGGCCGTTGATATTTTCTTTCACCTTCAAGGTCTTTTTTATGATTGAAATCTATCACTTGTGATTTTTTGTCTTGATATTCTATAAGTGTATGATTGTATCTTGTAAATCAAAATTAGTGAATTGTATTATATATATATATATAGTTATATCTTAACAAAATAAAAAGTGAGAAAATTCATTTAAATTTTATGAGGCTAAAATAGTCAATTTTTTTATTAGAACAAAATAAGGTATTATTAAAATTGCTCCCTCCTCTCCCTCCCCTCCAATCAATCCAAACAGGAGATCATTAAAATCCCTCCCCTCCCTTCCCCTCCCTCCCCTCCCCTCCCCTCCCCTTTGTAGCTATCCTCCCCTTTCCTCCCCTCCCCTTCCCTTGATTAAAATTCCTCCCTCCCTTCTCTTCGTCGAGCCAAACATAGCGTTAGACCGCGATTGTCTATTGCCAGGTGTCAAGATTGGCTTCTCCCGCGTAAGGTAATCGGATTATACTGTTAACGTCCCGCCGCTTCGTATTAGCTACTTATAGTTAGCTATTGGCGCTGCCGGGCGAATGAGGGGTTCACCTTGAAAATGGCATCATCCACAGCCACCATTTCTTGCATTTCTCCGGTTTCAGTTTCTTGGTCCATTTTAATTCCCGGTCCCAAGGTAAGCCTTGTTCCTCCTCTTTCCCTTCTCCCTTTTGGTTTCCCTCAAGCCTCTGGTCTGACTTAAACCCGCATTGCTCAACTGTGTAACCCGATTCCTAGAGTAATTATTAAGAAAAATAAATGAAACCTCTAATTTGCTTAGAGTACAAACATGCATGCGATCCTCCTGTGTAGCGAAGCTTCTTAGATGTATGCAATTGTTTTCCTTGATTGATTGCTTGAATATGTAGATTGTCAATTCGCGAGCTCCTTCACTGAAGCTTGATGAGTTTATTAAAATACGAGGAGTTACTGCTTCTAGGATACCTAGATTTCGTAGATTAGCTGCTTTTTCTGTGTCTGGAGATGGTAGTGCCTCTGTCGAGAAGACTGATGTGCCTTTCCCTAACGATTACACGGAGCTTCTGGAACAGGTACGTTTGAATACAACAGTCGTAATGAAAAGTCGAATCCCTTAAAGCACTAAAATTAAGCCTAACCATACAAGGTCACTATTAAATTTTGCATTAGGAGGTTAAGATTAAATTTGATGGCCGATTGTGAGGTGATTGTTGATAGTATAATGAAGTTAAGGTTAAAAAATATATAGAGAGAGATGCCACTGGAACTCTGAAACTGTGTCCGTATTTATTATTCAACCAACAGGCTAGAGTAGCAGCTGAACTGGCCATGAAGAATAACAAACAGCTAATGGTGAGTTATATAAGGTAATCTGATTATGAATCAAGAGTGATTGGTGCCCACACGAAAGGAGGACGTATTATAAGGCAGTAATGAACAATCTTGTACAGGAGATTGAATTCCCAACAGCTGGACTTCAGTCTGTGCCAGGTTCTTCTCACCTATGATATTCCAGTCTCCTTTTTGCTAGTTAACCAAGTTTTATTGAAGTCTCATTCCTTCCGCTGCTTCCATTTATTTGTCAATTAATTTTTCTCATTTGACAATCAGGTGATGGTGAAGGTGGAATAGAGATGACTGAGAGTATGCAATTGATTCGAGAATTTTGTGACCGGTTCATTAGCCCAGAGAAAGCCTCGCGAACAAGAATAGTAATCTTCTAGATTCTGAGCAGCATCCTTCATTGTGCCCACCGGCGTTCCTAATAAAACAACAACGCATTTTTTCTACATATAAAAAACACTGCTCCTTGCATTTACATCACTTTAAGTTGGAAGTTTATTCTAGTTTAACTTGGCCCTTAAACCTTTACTCAGGGCCCATCATGGTCTCTACACCATAGATTTTATCCTTTGGGCATCACTACTTTCATTGCTTCAAATAGCTCTGAATTTCCCATTTATGGTTCTCGTCTTTCTTCATTTGCGCATCTACAAGCTACAATGCAATTGCAGCCTTTCAAAAGTCTGTCTTGTTCTGTTGAGATTGTTATATAAAAGTTCTTGTCCTACCTTAGCTTCATACTTCCTGTGTGAAATTGATGAATGCAAACTTGTCAAAATCAGTTTTTTCCAGAGGCTAGCGAAGTTAAATTTGCCAGACAATCAGTCTTTGCTGGAGCTTCTTTTAAATTGGACTATCTGACAAAGCCATCATTTTTTCAAGATTTTGGTATTTTTGAGAAAGTGAAAATGGCAGATAGAGTGAAGCCAGGAGATGAAGTTTTCTTGGTAGCTTATCCATATTTTAATGTCAATGGTAGATCCAAACTTCATTCATCTTCGTTGATACTAGTAAAGAATGGTCCATGACTGCCATTCCTTTCTGTTTCAGAGATGCTTGTTGTGGAAGAACTTTACAAAGAGGCGGTCTTGAACACTGCAAGGAAACTGATCATTTTTAATGGAGAAATTGATCGTATAAGATCAGGGTGTATCCTTTGACAAATTATAATGCCCTTTTATATTAGAACTGGTCTCATCTGTTCCTCGGGTAAAATATCTTCTTTTGTTGATAACTAAAGGTAATAGACCCAGGTCCTCGAGTTAGATCTCTATATTCATGTATTTATGTGTTTTAACTCTTAAGCTTAGTGATACTGAATAAAATGTATATAGAAGATCTGAATTTCAAGATAGTTTCCTCTTGTATTTGGGTTTGATCCCTACTCCATCCCCTTTTCAACTGAAAATGATTAAGCAAACGAAAAATTTAAGAAGTGAGGAGGTACTTGGCAATTGACATCATTTGGTTAAGTGTGAGAGAATTGATTATCCTTGAACGTATCAAGATTATCCACCATTCTTCTATCCCAAGCTTGCTGCACTCAATAAGACCCTCCTGCCTGTGATGGAAACTGTTTATTACATTCATAATTTCAAAGGGCGCAATGGAGGAACACTCTTCAGGTCTCGTAGCTACTTAAACTGCGTTTGATCTCTTGTAGGTTGCTAATCTTAAATATTGGAATGCTCTTGAGAATCCTCGTGATACTGCCACAAGAGAAAGTAGAAATTCTTACAATGATTTGATAGATCGATTTTCCATTAAATGATTTTTACGCCAAACTCAATTATCTTTGTTTGTTTTGTTTTTTGGGCGTTTCAATGCAAATGTTACTAATTTATCACAAACCCGTTAAATTTTAAGCAGGTGCTATCCAGGACCCTGGAAGGTCCTCAGAAGAAAGGGGAATAAAGTTATTTGTGTACATCAGCAGGATAATATGCCATCCCTTAAGGAAGTTGCCCTTGAAATTCTTCCGTCAGCTTGAGACGCCAGCAACTGGGTAATGGTAAGCAAGTTCCGTTTGTTTCATGCCATAGGTAGTGCCTTCAATTTATTTTACAAGTGATATTGTATATAGCGTTACTCAAGTTGTGGGCAAGACCGGGGTTCACATCTAATCTAATTGTTAATTGATTTACAAAACATGGAGTTCAAGAAACGATTTCCTTTGGCCGTAATATAAATGATCCAAATATTCCCAGGTCGGTGTGGTCAATTGTTATTTATTAGCACTGCTCAATTAATCTTTGACATATCTAAAATTTATATATTATATGGTGCAATGGCAGAAGCCTCAGAAATAAAATAGCCACAATACTATTATACTATACCACTCATATTGTTACTTCTCTATTTATACAATGGAAATGTATAAAAAATACCTTAGCTATCCCTTATCCTAATTTCCTAATCACTACTATAGAATTATTCACATTGTCCTGAAAGTAAATGCTCTCTCTCTCTCTCTCTCTCCCCCCCCCCCTCCCTCTCCTCTCTGGGTTCTGGTGAAATATATTAATCCTCACTGCAGTATTCCGGATCCTTTTTCCTAGCCCACTAACAGTAACGGTCTGGGCCTTCTTCCAATAGGTGGACATGAATTCTCTTTCGGGATAGTTCATAGTTCTCACCTACCCGCTGTCCATGTTATTTATTTATTTTTATTTTAAATTATTTTGCGTCTAGTCCACTGTCGACCCAACCCATTTCTGATCTGGACAAAGCTTATGGTTGGACGGAGAAGCTTTTGGGCTCCTATTGTGCTAGGCACCTCGCACATGATCATCTTACTGGTTACTGAAGGCATAGAAGGCCTCTCTCCCCGCCTTTATGTCAAACTAACCACGGAAGAAAGGAGTGACTCGTACAGAACCTAACAAACTTAGCTGATTAATCTTGCTAATCATGGCAAAAACTTCAGAAATATTCTACCACTTCTTTATTTTTTTCCCATGTTACTCTCTTTTTTTTGACCCGCTACTCTCTTGTTTACGCCATCTAGGATTATTTTGGTCAAAATAAAATTGGCTCATCAGTTCAGAGTCAAATAAAACGGATCTGTTAATATTAAATGTGGGTGTAAATAACTTAATTTATTGGATGTAACTTAACCGACAAAAATTAAAAAGAAGACAAGTGGTCCTAATTTATACATACCAATAAACGATATTGGAAATGAGGTCCCCGCTAGGAGTCAATCTTGCGTGAAGAAAAAGTCTCGCTGAGAGTGAGAGGTCGCACTGATCTCATGGGACTGTACGTCCATAGGGTAGCAATAAGCATTCACGCACGAGGAAGTGGAGGGAGCTCATATAGTTGCTGCTAGCGACAACCTTTTGCTTATCGTGCAGCCAGCCAAAGCGAAATTCCCATTAGAATTCGTTTTTCCCCTTACCTAACAGTCAAAAAAGTTCCCAAATTCTTGCAGTTACGCTCTCCTACCAGTAAAACCTCATCTTCTTCTTCATTTCCCTCCTATAAAAATTCTCTCTCTCTGAATCACAGTCCATCGCACTGACCCTTGCGACGCCATGTCCGTCGACATTTGGGTGGTGCCCTTTGTCGGCCAAGGCCATCTTCTCCCCACCATTGAGCTATGCAAACACCTTGTTTCGAGAAATGTCAAGGTCACTCTCGTCATTTCCTCCAACTTCTCATCATTCCTTCCCTCTTCTCTCCACCAATACCCTCTGCTTCACATCGCAGAAGTTCCGGCCGCCCCGATCCCTCCGCCAGAACCGGGTCCGCACCCATTTCACTCCATGCACAAAATTCAAGAATACTATCTTCAACAGCTTCAAAACCTTCTCTCTACCCAACTTGATAACTCAGCAAGACCCGTCGTCGCCATCGTCGATGTCATGATGAGTTGGACTATCGAGGTTTTCAACAAATTCCGAGTGCCAAGGGTGGCGTTCTTCACTTCCGGCGCCTGCTCGGCTGCCTTGGAGCATGCAATATGGAAAGTCCACCCGGAAGACCTAAAACCCCACGAGATCCGATTACTTCCCGGGCTACCCGAAGAAATGGCTGTAACACTTTCGGATCTTCAACAGGGACCTCACGGCCCGCCACCGCCACCGCCAGGTGGCGGCGCTTCTTTTCCTCCCCCTCCCGGTGGACCAGCACACATGGGACCACCCCCTCCCGGAGGACCAGGACCCATGGGACCGCCGCCTCCCGGTGGACCAGGACCCATGGGACCGCCCCTTCCCGGCGGACAACCACCGTGGTTGGAAGAAGTCCGCGAAGCCATCGCATTGCTGTTCAACACGTGCACCGATCTAGAGGCTCCTTTCATCGACTACGTCGCGAACCAAATCGGAAAACCGGTCTGGGGGATCGGTCCGCTTCTCCCCGAACAATATTGGAAATCGGCCGGCTCCATCCTCCATGACCGGGAAGTTCGAACGAACCGCCGATCCAGCGTCACGGAAGATGAAGTGATCCAATGGTTGGATTCAAAGCCACGAGGCTCTATACTGTACGTGGCATTTGGAACCGAGGTAGGTCCCACAATGGAGGAGTACGCACTGCTAGCTGAAGCTTTGGAGTCATCGGATCAACCATTTATATGGGTCCTCCAACCCGGGGCGGGCAGGATGGGTCCTCCTCCAGGAGTAGTGGAAGGGGAACCCGGGTCGGATGAACACGAACCAGAAGGGTATTTTCCACATGGGTTGGATAGTCGGGTCGGACAAAGGGGCTTGATAATACGCGGGTGGGCTCCGCAGCTGTTGATACTGAGTCACCCATCAACGGGTGGGTTCTTATCTCACTGTGGGTGGAACTCTACAGTGGAGGCGCTAGGGCGTGGGGTTCCCATTTTGGCATGGCCCATAAGGGGCGACCAACACCATGATGCCAAGTTGGTAGTGCAGCATCTTAAGGTGGGGTACAAAGTGTCTGATAATCTGGCAGAGGTGAAGAAGGATGATATAGTGAAGGGGATAAAGAGGTTGATGGGTGATAAAGAAATTAAGAGGAGGGCTGAGACTCTGAGCGATAAGTTTCAGCATGGGTTCCCAACTAGTTCTGTGGCCGCTTTAGATGCTTTCAAAGACTATGTGAGCCAGAAATTGCTCTAGGCACTTTGCCTCTGTGCGCGTGTTGAGTTGACTTCGATCAACTCTTATGGGTAAATTTCTTATATTTTTGTCTGGCAAAAATTAGGATTTTTGTAACGAAGACATGGCCAGAACAGCACATGAAATTTACAAATTAAATTATCCATCTCTTATCTTTGAATTGAAAATCAATACACTACAAACCATCAATAATTTAAAACGAACTGAAAGAGAGATTCTTTTCCTTTTATCGTTTCAAGGTAAAACCCAATTAGATTCCAGTGAACCTACCTAAATTCCAGAAAACAATTGAATAGAAATGGTACAATTTGATATTGGAAACAAATGATCTTGTGCAAAAGAACAATGGAAACTTCATGTTGGTCAATCATGATGGATCTGAATCCAGTTTAGGGACTATGGCAGATGAGAGCTCCAAATGGGAAATGCGAACAGCCCCAATAAGCCGCTCTGGCAATTCATCAGTAGTATTTGCCTGAAAATAATAACTTACATTAATAACTAAATGTCAACATCTCACAGCCCACAACTAAAAGCAGAGATGAAACTTGTGAAGTCATCGGGAGTATTTCACCGGTCCTTAGACATATTGACAATTTTACATAGACTAAGGAATCAAGTAAAAATTAGCCATAATACTTTTAAGGAATCAAATAAAAATTAGTTAATATTTTAAAATTTATAAAGAAATTTAGGTCAAGTTCCTTATATCTATTATATCAAGTTTTTCAGTGTCTCTTTTTGTTTTATGCGGATTTATAATTAAATGTTATTAAATGTTAATTCCTCTAGCTGGTCGCATAATTTATGGGTCTGATCCGATTCCACCTTTTTAATTGTCATTACTTGCTTAGAGGTGCCATACTATTAATAATGTAAAATTTATAAAAAACATTTAAAGAAATATACCTGTACAAGAAAAGCCATATCAACCACCAATGTAGTAATTACACCAACAACGAGCCCCAAAACTCCATTGGCAACGGTAGAAGACCCAATATCAACATCAACCTACAAATCGAAACCAGTGATTTATCAATCATAGCCGAAAAGGAAGTCGGCATCACCATTCATTATAAAGAAACTTCCTACATTCAGAAAGAGAATAATTTATTAAGAGATTGAATGAATATTTACTTCTAAATATTTAGGACCACGAATATAGTTGCAATCAACAGCCTTTCCCAGTAAACAAGGAGTGCTCCCGACACTTTGGCGCACAATCCATGAGCCCTGCATATTTTGGGTCAGAAAATCAACATGTCCCTTCTTTAGCCTTTAAAGTCAGAATAGTAGCCATAAAATAAATTAAACTGTCAAGAAAAAATTTTAAAAAAAATGTTTTAAAAAACTGGGAGAAAGGAAAACATTAAATTACTGAACAAGATAAAAGAAGGAATTGACGAAAAACACATAAACGCATCCTTCCACACCATCTGGTGGATTGAACTGGTATTTTGCTAGTAAGGCGACAAACACCCTAACCATCAAAACCCCAGACGTATCCAAGAAAGGCACTTCAATATATGCATCTAGATAGACATCTGAATGCTTCTATGAGAAAACACGTCAGTGACGATTCTGATGGACCACAGGGTAAAGCTCAGCAAAACTACAACTTACAAAAGCAAATGGGCAAAGGCCATAAGGACACAAGAGCACCAGAGTCCTAACCAACAATTTTCCTATATACCGATGACAAAAGTTAGTAAATACCTTTGGCACTGATGGAATGAGCTTCAATCTGCTATTACGGAACTCGTCATCACCATCAACAAAGCGCTGCAAGAGAGATCCAGGAACCAACGCCTTTGTCACAAAATAGAATACCATACTATAGTGTGTTGATCCAGGCACCTACAAGTCAAACAATGGGTTCGTTTACTTCAAAAATCCATATTGTCCAACTTTGAAGTTGGCTTAGGAGAAGAAACTCACTTGAAGATTAATAATAATCGAGAACAATCCTTTTTCCGATGCAACCTACATAAATACCAAAAGAGAACAATGAATGAAAGCCTACAAAGTAATAAACAATCAATCAACTCAATAAATTATTTAAAAATGAGAAAAGGCAATGCTGAAAATCTATGCAAATGCACACAGGAAGCCTCCAGCAGGTCTATATACTCTTAGACTTCTAAGAATCTTTGTCAAGTATCATAATACAGAGAAGGTTCAAAAGTCATCCATAAATTCTTGATATCCAAAATCCACATGTAAAGTGATTTGTGATGAATATCAAAACAAAACTTCCGCACCTTATATGTAACGCCTTACTTAGGGTTAAAGATAATAAATGGCCCAGTACAAAATTGCAAGGTTATATACCGAGCAAGCCAAAGTGGTTATAAAATAAATCCTTTCTCTAAAAGATAATTTGGAAGCCAAGAACAAGGCGCAATAGTTTGTCAAGCAATTTCTTGATATTCAAACCGATGCAAAAGGCATAGAAATCAACGTGCAACTTTCTAATACTCACCTGTGCTGCACATCCCTGGCGCTTAGCCACATGATCCATTCTTTTTGTGTCCTTGAACCAATCGACAGCGACAAGATCCATGAGGTGCTTACCTGCAGGAATCTATACACAAAAAAAAAAGAAAAGAACATATCAACATAGTAATAGATTTCAAGTCAAGAGCAAAACAAAAAACCAGGAAAGTACCTTGGACTTGTCAAAACAGAATTGCTTGCTTCGGACTCTGAAGTTATTTCCATCCGAAATTTTCCAGCAATCGCGCGCATTATCACGATCATCACGACGTAAATTACCCAAAAAGCAAGACAAGTCAATTTCAATTGCTGGTTCTTCTTCCACAGCAGCTTCAGTAAATTAAAAAAAAAAAAAAGAGAAATGTTTATCATCAGAAAGTAAGCAGCCACCTGTTTTTTTGACATCATTCTCAATCCCACTTGCATAGGCCTGAAATATTAAAAGAGACAAGCTTAGAATTTTATGAAGTTTGTCCCAAAATTACAGGTGAGAATGGTGGGAATACAAATACAACCTCTTGTTCAGATTCTGCTATTTGAAAATCTTCATCTTCATCAGAGTATTCATCCAACATGACAGAATTCCTACTAGCAACATTCATTTGATCCACGGAGGTTGGATGAGAATCATGGGCCTTGGGAGTGTTCTTTGAGGAAATGGATGTTGAGGACATATTAACCATAACAGGGATTCGTGAAGGAGCGTTCCTTTCATCTGTTTGGGAAAACCACTCACGTAAACCTGTTCAAAAGAAAGAAAGAAAAAGGGAAAAAACAGAAGAAGAAAAAGACCGCATCAATAGTGTGCAGCACAAACAATATTTGCATGTTGACAGATCGTGTGGTGGAAAAATATGTAGAATCAAAACATGCCCCAATGATTCATCACTGATAGTGACAAACAACATATCCAGTATAACATTATCATGAAAATATTGGGGCAACGGGAAGTATAACCCAAATCTTAAATTTAAACCACTGATATTGACTAGAGACAAAAACATCTGCCGATCCATTCTTCTGATGAGGAAGGAATTTATTCTTTCACAGAAAACAGAAACCTACGATCAATCCAAATCAACCAGATTTTCTTAGCATGTGATGTCCATAAATGCAAAACCACAGTGAAAAACTACTGCCAACAATTTTATAACTCCCCACCCCATAAAATCCTCAAGCCTTCTGCACAAAAGAAAGATGAAAGAAGCCAGCAACACTAAAGTATACATACTGTTGGAAATAACTCATCAGGAAGTGAAACTATGACGAGGAAAGAAATAGCATTAATGATCCCCAACAAAATTTCAAAGCGCACATATTGCTGAAAATAACTCACCAGCAACACTATTTAACATCTGAAGGAGACAATGTTGCTGAAAAGATGACATGTAACCCACACCCCATCCCTTAAGATCAATCTGCATAAGATGCTGAACTTGAGTCCTTGGCCTCCCATTTCGAGATTTTAAAGGGGAAATATTAAATCCTCCACCTGAAGCAAACAGTTCTTGAGCCTAAAAATAAATTCGGCACACATTTCAAGTAGGATCTTGCATGCTATGAGTCACTCAGTGGAGACAACTCATTTTCTCCAAATAGAGAAATATGAATTCTCTTAGGTGTCAAATTTCAGTGCATCCTATTAATCACATCTAAATCATAAGTCATCAAGTTATCAGAATAATCAAGCCTTACTTCGAATGGACCCCGACCCCAAAAAGGAAAATCTTTGTAACTTCAGTTGAAGCCACAAGAGAATGAACAATCCATGTTCCAAGCTAAAAAGAATGACCTTGTTGGAGAATTCTCAAAATATTGATGGGATAGGACCAAATCGTTGTTTGAATTCTTGGCTCAGAACAAAATAATTCAAGTTTGATTAGTCACCCTTGGTCACAATGTATCATGGGCCCAGCTAATGCATGAAGATTACAGTAACAAGACTGAAACGCCCATGTTTCATATGCATATCTTCAAATATGGCAATATTTCAGATATCTCAGTCAAGTCGGAAAGGGAAACTTCAATCTTCCACATATGATAACTACAGTAGGCTAAGCAGCAGACATCCTAGGCAGCTTAGTAGCTTTTGCACATATTTTCCAACTGATCAACGATTCCTATCTCAAGACTATTATGTTTATATCCATTTAAGCAGCGATAAGATGAAAGGTTGGTAGGATTCAATAGATAAATCAAAATGAATGAATTCCACAATTCCAGTGGAGAGAAAAAGAACTATAGGCTTTAATATATAGACTCTTCATATATGAGTGAAAAAGAATAATCTTACTCTCAATATGGGCTCGGACGTATCCCGGTTGTGGACCACAGTTCACATGCTCCCTAGAACGAAATAAGACAACTACAAAAAGAAGAAACATTAGTGCGAACTTTCAGAATAGTCTGCGCAATTTCAAATAAAAATAGCAAGTTTCCCACCATAACTTCCATCATCATTTCGGCGCCAATAGCGTACATAGCAAAGATCACGGGGCCATACAAACCTGCCACAAGAAAGACATTGAGCATGCAAATGATACAGCAAACGATGTTACCTGTAAAACGATAGCAATCCTAAATCATATTTTTAACATAAATAATAACTAATACTTTGATGGGAAATACACATATAATGTCCAGAATTGAAACAATTGACACTGCAGCTAATCAAAATGCCAAAATTTGGGCCTAATTTAGGCTTTCATGCCCAGTTCAAATTCAGAAGGAAAAAATCCAGCTCAGTCCAATTATAGAAAACATTTGCTATTTTTATATTACTATGAATTGACTTCATTTAATCAATAATAAAAAAAATCCTTATCTTTTCAAATGTTTAACTTGATTGGCATCCAAGAAGATATATAATATATCTAAGATTACATTTCATGCGTTAAGGAAACTATCAAAAAGTATCATGTGATTCTGCCTTGGGAGGAATAAAATTCAAGTAATATTGTAGTTTGTGCAGAAAATAAATTTCAAATCATTTACACAAATATTAGACTATTTTTACTCTTGCGCAAACTACAAAATTCAACATACTTGGAAGGAAAAAAAAGAAGTAGATTATATTTACATTGGAAACCAATCCAGCTGAAGTCTATGATAAAGAACTGCCGTGTGCCCATCCACCTCCTCGACTAAGCTACCATCTTGAAAACTGGAATCCCACCTACAGGTACAAAAACATCATGAGATTACAACACTTCTGAACATAAAAACTACGGGTCATAAAATATCTTGAGCTAAATTAAAAAAAAAAAAAACAGATCCTTTCATTCATTTCTTAACATGAGTATAGATAAAAGGCACCCTAGGCATGTTTAAGCCCTAAGTACAGTTGTACTGGCATAAGTTACAAGGCTTCGAAGCTTAAGCATTTCCAAGAAACATAAAAATTTATTCTGACAAAATTAATAACTTAAGCAAGGGAAATATGAGAGCAAGTATCATATTTAAAACAAAAACATGCCAGTAATAAGACAACCATCCATACCACTTTTCCCGGTGCAGTAGCTACTTTAAAAGCGAATAAAAAACTCAAACAGCCAACTGTGTAACCCCTTAAATTGTTCAAAATATGCATATTATATGGTTGAATCGCTCATCAAAACATTGTGTCTCCTTAGTCCTTCACCAGTCTCTCAATTTCAACATTTTATGATGTTTAGATATTAGAAAGTTGAGAAGCAACACCAGAAACCATTGTAATATTTTAAGTTGCAATCAATAATCACTCTCCTGTGATAAACATGGCAACATTTCTCCAAAAAATTAAAGGAATGCCATAATTTGTCAAACTACAGCAACCATGAAAATAACCCAACATAGATATGCAGAACACCTACTCAAATCGTGATCCATCCATGCTCATCACAAGCTCAAAAATTTCTTCACATGTGGCCTCCACAACTCCGACTGCCTTCATTGCTCTACTATAGCTCCTGGGCTGCATATAGAGTAAATTGATGATGATTTTGTTCAACCAATAAATCCAATGAAACGTTAAGATCCTACAATTCAATTAAACTAAGACAGCAAGAGTTCCATACAAGGTAATCAACTTCAAGTAGTTCTTCAAATATACGAAGTCCTGTCAACCCAAAAGGCAAAGACACCAATCAATTTGTAAATAAAAGAATAGTCAATCATCGAAGAGCCATAATAGATCCTTGGATAAATTTTTGGTTCAAAAGCATAGCTGATTATCGAAACACTGTAATCAAATGTAGCTAACCATTTTGGCATTGTAAAAGACGCCAATGTCTTCTTGAAAATGCTTGGTTATTGCTGTTTTGATCTGACAAATCAGAGTATATTTCCCTTGTCCAGTCAAAAACTGATTCTGGAGGTCCTGTATATCACAAGCTAAAAGGTTTAAATATAGATTACAGCAAAGTATATTTAATCCAATAAGTCAAAGTGCAAATAAATTAGACCATTTCCAATTGTTGTCCTCCTTAACAAATCGGGATGTGCCACTAGATCATCCTCCTGAACACTGAACCAGAAGAGATAAAATATGATTGATATCATGAACTCGTAGAAGGATACGCATAATACAAACCCCACAAATAACTTAAGAATAGAGATATTAAGAAAAAATCTTAAAGACAACTAAGTCATTTTCAGTTATGTGTCAAATGTCCTCTTATGGTTGCATCTCCAGAGAATGTATATCAGATTAAGACAATAAAATCTAAAGGGAAATGGACATAATCTAAATCACAACATATGCTGCTAATATTCAAACAGCAGCTACCCTTCTTCATTATTCAAATGAAAAGAGAAAACCTCAATATTACTTACGGGCTTTCATGGTCTGAGAAAGAAGTTGTGTTCCCATCATCCATCCCAGATTTGTACTCAAAAGACACGTATTTGTTGCCATTTGCAAGTTGTGCTCCCTGATGCTACACAGATTAAAAGTTCAAAAGTGAGATTCTATGTGAATTGAAAAGCATGTCCTAACAAGATGGATTAAAAGATATATAAATTAAAATAACAAATCGCCATTTCAGGCATCCGTTAAGAAATTTCTTTTAATTTGAAAGCCAATATATCTAAGGGAGATATAAAACTTAACCAACAGGTAGAAATATGCATATTGTTTGAAATTTAGAAAGAACATTAAGATCATGCAATTTGATGAAACAGACCTGATCAATTACGTACTCAATTTTTTCCTTCCAGATTAGCGCCTCTTGAATGTTAAATGCTGCCATCTGCAATTAGAACCCAACTAATAGACATTCGCATAACACAAATGACAGCAAAAGTAACCCAAAAAAATCTTCATGATCTGACACAAACCAATGGCATGAGGATAGTTATATGCTGGTTAAATGGTGGAAAAATAAACTCACTGTCATTCGATGGTACTTGTCTTTCTTGTTGTAAACAGACAAAACATAAACCATCTGCACAATAAGAGAAGAAAAAAATTATATATGTAAAGGGTCGAAATTAGAGGGATCAGGAAACAAAATAATAGTTTTTCTGATAACACCTAGAGTCAAAATGGTTTCCAAGAAAAAGAAATTACATACAAAAAGAACTACTACCAAGACACGGGCTACGCTATTCAGAAAGCAGCATCTCCAGGTCAAATTATTGTGTTTTGTAATCAGTTCGTTCCAGTCAAAATGTGGTTTTGACTTTTGACCAAAGAAATGAGAGTAACTTTGCTCGAAAGTTACAAAACCACCTTTTCAACTAGTTACCAAACAATTCCTTATAGCATCTTTTCCTCCTTCAAAAATATTCATTAAGAAAAAAGATGAAAACACTCATTCCCCTCCACTTGTGACTCAGAATTGTATGATCACAAGTAACTGCATGAATCAAGAGGTGAATAGGCATACTCATCATTCCACCGCACGGGTACGGGTAACAATGGTATAATGTCCATAGACAGCATAAACGGACTAATTAATTAATGTAGTAACAGAGTTAATGTGGTAACAGAACAACTGGAGTAAGACTAATCCACTGCATGCAGAAACAAAATGCAAACTAATGGGAATCCTAATCAGATGCCAGTAACATATCCAGCTTATCCACTTATTTTGATCTAACATGATGATGATTCCGGTATGTTGCTAGTTCACAGGCCTAAAAAATCACATTTATTTTTGCTTCACCACCTGAAAGCAGTCACGCTTGTAATCGGCTTCTAGGTGTATTTGGTGAATAATTAGCTTATGCCATCAGAGCACGGAGCATTTCCTTCTTATCAGGCTTAAAGATCGCAGGAGGAGTAATGAGAGAAATCTTTGTGGCAGTGCCCAACATATGATGTCCTTTCGCATCAGAATTAGTAACTGATATCGATGTTGATCTGTCCTTTTTGGCTGCTACACTTAAGGAAAATGTCTCATCCTGCTGGTTTGCAATTCTATTTCATATAATGGAATTTCTTCTTTCTTTTAATTTAAGATGATATTGTAATTAGTCTGAGAGAATAGATTCTGTGAATTAACCATGTCAGACAAATTTCTCACACAAAACTTCATTTTATGATGAAGCTCATATCTCTTCGTTACCTTCCTACGTACCATTTAATATTTGAGTAATTGTCCTTGCATGCACTTTACATGCATATCCGTTCACATTAACGCCCTAGTTTCCATTTCGCACATTATATATTCCATCAGCATTACACTTCTATAGTGATACAGGAACCGTAGGACAAGTATAAAATCATGCAAAGCGGACCCTTCCTTTTGAAGGTGCGCTATCCGGGCGTCCACCAACACCTCGATGGCATCAGGCTTCTACAGCATGTATATGTACCAAAAAGAAAAATATTAAAAACGTTTCGATAACTCACATGTCCATGATGGGTCTTCAAGCCTCTATCCTCCACTCGACAGTTCCCATCAATCAACAGCGTTTTGATTGGAACCTAACAAAGCAGAGACAAAGAATTAGTCGCTCACATTGTGGCCAGCTTCAACACCCTCCCCTGTCTTAGAAAAGTTTTGACAAGAGAACAATTAGAAATACTATGAGAAGAACAAGAAGAAGAACGTTTTGAAAGTATACCCTCGAACAGTCGAAAGGCAAGCCCATCTTATCATTATGTTCTTAAAATTAAAACCAAAATAAAAAAAAAAGGGGGGGTATAAACGTTTTCTATCGGCATATATGCAAAGATTCTAAGAAGTTGTCATTTCTGATGGGAAACTCCCGAAAAAGACTGACTCTCAGTGGAGAGCGGAAAGTACCATAAACCGAAGCTTCAGCAAAATTAACAGAACAGCTAAAAATTCTAAGAATGGATTGTCAGCAGAATGGTGAAATTACCCGATTATCCTGTGGTTTTCTCTTGTAGTACGCGAGAAGACGGGACTCAAGCACGAAGTACCTCATGTGGATGAACGATCGGCCGATCTTTCTTCGGCCATACCGCACCATCCAGCCTTCATACACGACTTTCGTCGACATCCTTCCAACCAAAGATGAAGATGAAACTCGCACTTTTGCAACAAAAATTAGTCCCGAAAACAAGCCAAAATTCCAACTAATATCTATCTGATATTGCAAAACGAGAAAACTCCAACGGAATATGTCATGAAACTGAAGCTTAAGATCAAATCTCCGCTTCCGCGAAGATCAATCTTAGTTAAGTGACCTGATCGGTCATGATCAATGTCAGAACCGCCGGATCACGGGACCGGCGATTCCGAGCTTCATTGTCCGGGGAAATTTCTGTGGAGTGACGAGCTAGACTTCCAAATTCGAATTTCCCATTGTATCAACAGAATCTTTCTTTTTTTTAAGAATTCTCAATCCTCGCTTTGACTTCGAATCTTGGAATGCTCCGCCGGATCCGGGAACGGCAAGAGCCAAGAGAAGGACTGGGAATTTGAGGGAGAGATTCTGACGAGCACATGAGAGAGATCCCACGTAAGGAAAGACTGGCTGTGGACTGGGAAAGCGTTGGACACGTGGAGGGACGTGATTTGTCCCTTACCGTAGGGGCATGTTAGCGCCGTGCCCTTCATCTTTTTGAATTGATGTGGCGTCCTCGGACAGGAGGACCCGTTTAATTTCCGGGTTGGATTTCCACGTGATGAATGATGATTGAAATCGGATCCTGAGACGGTGATGTACTGGGAAAACTTGTAATTTTGAATTTTCCTTTGGTGCTTTCAGTGGACGCAGTGGTCAGAAAGAGAGAGGGTCCCACGTATGATTGCTGTTTGGTGGTAAACTTGCTAGGTGTTAATAGAATGACTAATATAACCCTGGAACTGGGATCTTTGTGGTTGTCTGCACTGACCTCATGGTCATTGCACTCATTTCGGTGGGGTTTTGACTTCGTTATACTTCCGCGAGTGTCACTGTACACAACTAAGTAAAGTTGTCCATATAGTTTGTGCATTCTTGAACAATTATTTAGCTTCCGTTTAGAATAGCGATTGTAAAAGTAATTTATTATAAGTTTGGTTTATGAAGAAGTAAAATTTGGTAAAAGTTAGATTGTATTTAGATTAGAGTTTAGAAAATTAGCTTGAGATTGGTAAAAAATTATTTAGATTATGATTAGGTAAAAATAAATTTGTTGTAAAATGACCATAATGGGTATGAGTTTTAATAAATAATGAAACATAATTAAAAAAAATAATTTTATATAATACAATGAATTTAAATTAATTTGTAATATAAATAGGAGGGAGTACTACATATGTTCACGTATGCATGTGTGTATATTACATTTACATATGGTAAAATATTAAAAAAAACTGTTAATAAAAAAAATTATTTATCATATGATAACATTTTAGAAAATTGTGTTATATTAAAAAATTTGAAATTATACAAAATCAACGTATGAGGGAGAAGAGCTAGAAGGCAGATTTGGTATTAAATTTGCAATAAATGTTTCCAAGATTTTTTACCAAAACAAACGCACGATTCTATAAGTTATAAGCATCTTTTCGCAACTTATGCTTTTTACTAGCTTTTGACTCATAAGATAAATAAACTAAAAGCTAAAAGCTTATTCAAATAGGGACAAAATTACAGGTCGAGCTTATGGTACCAATAAGCTCCTTCTAAGCTTCACAAACACCCTGCCAAACAAACACTTAATAGGGGATTCAAACTCAAATTTATACTTCCTCCCTCCGCTCTATTTAATAAATTACAATTTTCTCATAGATCTGTTTTTTTAATATTAAAGTGCATCCAACACTGTAAATTATTTTTGAAAGTGTATCGGCATATTAAAATATTCAGTGATATAATTTTGCTTTTAATATACTACTTTTAGTTTTTAATATAAAACCTAATTAAAAATTTAACTCAGTTCTAAATATAAAACCTACTCGCTTATTTTGTCATCTTCGTTATCAAACTAACTAAAGACGTGACCTTGGCCAACATTCTCCTCTTTCACTGAAATATAAGGGTGACAACTTTAACCGCAGCTTAGCTACTGTTTGAATTCATTTAGAATTAAAGCTCATGGGAAGGGTATGTATGGCATGGTTGAGGAATTTATCTTCAGACCTACACATACATGCTTGATGCAAAAGAATGAATAGCACGGATGAAAAGGGAATGATGAACAAGGGGAAGTTAAAGTGGGACTTTTCTGCCAAAAAGAACGAGTTAGAGGTGGAAAGGAAGGGGAATGAAATGACGACCACGATACAATTGTTAAAACGATCAGTGAAGACCGTGCAAGAACTTGAATTGAAGCTCCCACCAAGCACGTCATCGTTAGTGATCAGAGCATGAGTCGTTCACCATCTTCTGCTGAGAGAGTGGAACAATGGCTCAAGGCTTTGGTCTATTGAAAATGATGAATGGTAGTGATCAGAATAAGAGATAACAGAGGTTAAGGTTATGTTAATTTAGGGGTGAGAAAGTGAGGGGATTTTTTGGTTAACTTTCAGCTGAGTCAGTAAGAGCTTGAAATTGAAGTCCTAATTTGCCATTTAGATATTTAGAGGCAATTTTTTTTTTCTGGAATTCTTCCTAGAGATTATTTTGTGATCCCTTTTTTCTCTCCATTTTCGTTTTTCCAAAAAATCAAGAGTTCGTTTTTTCTTAAGGGAAAAACCTTGAGTTCAGTTGGTTGGCAGCGTGCAGGCAACATGTTGCAGGGTGGTCGACGTGTTGACGGTGACGTTTCAAAATTATATTTATCTTTGTTATTTTGTTTTTAAAATGTCCACAGACACATGCCTATAATTATATTCTAGTCAAGTTAATATCATCATTCTCTCGTGCGCACACAATTGACTATATTTTTTATTTTAATATTTAGTAACATTTTTACTTGTTAATTATGTTATTCATGTCATTTATTTTCAAATCATTAACAGCAATCTTGTATAAAAGGTCTTCAATTTTTTTTAATGTTTTAAAATTATTTTTTTCAAAAATTTTTAACTCAAGAAAAATTAGAAAAAATTGTGGAAAAATCTCCATTTACAAAATTTGATTGATGAGAAGAATTTAATAAATTTTTATGTACACGTAGAATATTGATACTTTAATTTAGATCACTCTTATTAATAAAATATTTAGTGGAGGAATTTTCCCAAATTTTCCAATAAAAAGAACCAAAGTCTCATGTGTGTGTATACTATATATACATACACATATATATAAAGTTTGAATGAAATATCCAGATCGTCCAGCTCTGCCGAGCAGCCGGGAAGCAAGGATGAAAGATCTAGATTCATCCAATCCCACGGCCCGCCCATCCACCCAATTCCCGCGGAAATCAAACGCCAAATGGTTATTATTTTTTGTATTTATTTTGACTCTGTGTCCTATAAAAAGCCGACTCACCCAAACCCTTAATAGCCCATTCGCGTAGAGCTCTCCCTCTCTTTCCCCTCCTCCCCTGTGCAAGTGTGATACCCTTGCCGCGTCTCATCTCTCGCTCTCACCACAGATTTTCGTCGTTGGCGTTTATACTGTCCGCCGCGTCGTCGAACTAGTGTCTCGCTGCACAGACACCGTATTCGAACGGTAATTTTGCTCCCATTTAACGAGGGTCTCGTGGATTCCGAGATTTTGATGGATTCTGTTTTGCTGATTGCCTCAATGTACACGAGGCTTCGAGCTTCCATCCCACTTCGTCTCTTCTCTTTTCTTTTCTTTTTCGTTTCCGCTTCTGTTGTAATGGGTCGATTTCTGTGCGGATATTTGACGCTGTGTGAGACGAATGTTTTTAATTCTTGGACTAGCTACAATTTTCTTGGCACATTTAACATTTAACAATTATACATGCTATTCGTACGAAATAAACACATCGAGAAAAATCCCTGATATTATGGGTGATCAATTATTGTTAGCCTTTTACTTTCCCGCATGCTTGGTTATATAATAGAAGGGAAGGAAACCTAGCTGTTTGGGAGCATGATCCGTTGAAGTTGCGCTTCCTGGTTTCTGGTTTTCTTTCTTATTCTCGTTTTCATGTAAAAGATTAATGAAGTTATGTTCTTAGCTCTGGTTTCCCTAGCTCGTAAAGGTTTCAATTGCAAGGAGAAACAAATGAATCGTTGGTTGTGTTATACCTTCATAGTGATAGGATTAGAAAATTTAGATGTAGCATTTCAAGATTTGTATAACATTTGCATTAGATATGTGTTACCGGCCACTCCCCTCAACTTGCGTCAGGTTTAGAAAATAACAATAGATATGTACTAGAAAATAACATTTGCATTAGATATGTATATTCTCTGTATTTCTCACGGAACCCAATAGATAGTAATGAAAGATGAATTCTGCTCCAAATCTTGCAGTGAATTTTGTGGCTTTGTCTCAATGTCAAGGGGGAAATAATTTATGGTAGTAATTTAAGGTTAGATTTTTTTTTTGGCCAAAAAATTGAAGGTTAGATTCATTCCACTGAAAGATGCATGTCAATTCTGAAACTGTTCCTAGGTGCTTTTCTTTAAACCTAATCAGACCATTCTCTAGTTGAGCCTGAGCCCGAGTTGGGTTTTTGTCAGACGCATTCAAAATTTAAATATAAATTTAAATCTAAATTAGTTATATCATAAAAAACTAAAATAAATGGAAAATGATGCCGACTGCCACCTTAGAAAAGTAGTTCATTTGACAAAAAATGTGTGTGTATAAACAACGTAACTAAAAGAAAACACTTAATATGCATATAACCACTTAATATAAATACATATAATTCTCACCTCTCATTCAAGCTAAGTGGTTGTAAAGACATGACCTCACACTACCACACACACTTACATAGATACATATGACATGGAACTATTGGGCATGGAGCTACTTGTTTACAACGTTAGGTACAATCACACTGTATGGTGAGCCTTGCATTACACTTGTCCGCTGGTCCACTAGTGCTATGAAAACGTTAATATATGCATCAATCTACCAATTTTGTTTTGGTTCCTAATTTTAATTCGAGGAAAAAAAAGAAGTAATCAACACGAATTAGTCTGAAATATTTTTCCTTGTTGATAGGCATCCTGTCTGTGGTCTATTGCTTGAAGTAGAAACAAATATCATATAGAAATGGCTGAGCAAGGATTGGAAGGGAGCCAACCAGTAGATCTAAGGAAGCACCCTTCTGGAATTGTGCCTACCCTTCAGTGAGTAACCGCTTTTTTGAAATATTTCTTAGTTTATACTTTGCTGTGTTGTCTGATTGCATGAGATAAACATACGTTTTGATAAATTGTGTAGTTCTAATAAGTTCAATCATAATACGTGTGATTATTATGTTCATTGAGCCCTCTTGTCTTTGAACCTCAAATTCTTAATCTATTTATGCCCACATTTGATTTCATTAGCTGGTTCTAATAAAATGTTGGGCTATCTGTTGCTCTCTTATTCATCGGAAAGTCCCAGAACTACTGATAATAAATAGCAACACAAAGCTTATAGAATTAGGCTGCACTCCCATAAAAGTGTGACCAATATAACCACACACAAAAGAAAACAAAACTAGACTAAAAAAAAAAAAACTGGCAAGTTGGTAGGCATAAAGTAATTACAGAGATTGAAAGTCTTAATATCTGTAACACCAGTAACAGGAGTGCTGGCCCAAAAAAAAGAAAAAAACCTCAATAACAGAACATATCTTAATTAAGTGACCTTGATTTCATTCATATGTGGTACATCGTATGATGCCTAACAATATTGTCTTTTTCTTCTTGAACGTTAAAAAAAGAAATGTTGGTGAATTCAGCACGTTAAATATCTTGTGCGTATGCTGATGAAATTATTGAGTTTTCTGTTTGGTTCTTGCTTAACGTGATGTTGTTACTATGCCTTATCAAGTTGTCCATAGCTCAATTAAGCAATTTCAAGCATCAAATGGCATTTATACTCCTTGCTGGACTATTGTTTTACTTGGATATCTCTGTATATAGATGGATTTAATACACATGGTCAATTTTTTGGCTAAAAATTATAAACTTGTTATGTGAGTTGTTTCTACTTGTGGCGGAACATTATAACAGTGTATCCATTCTCCACTTCTAGGAATATTGTTTCAACAGTTAATTTGGACTGTAAGTTGGACCTTAAACAAATTGCCCTTCACGCACGAAATGCAGAGTATAATCCAAAGGTAAGGTACCTCATGTTGGCAAAATTTGAGCTGGGCAAATTTTTTTCCAAAATAATTTATGGATTATTTCTCTTAAATTGCAGTACTTCATCTGACCCAAAGATTCTTTGTTTATCTAAGTTATATAAAAATGACTATCAATATGAATTTGTTCTCTGAAACAGTATACATGCGGTTCTAGGTCATTATTCATAGTGTAACTAATCATGTTTTCTTGATGTGATCCTTTGCAGCGTTTTGCAGCTGTGATTATGAGGATCAGGGAACCTAAAACGACTGCTCTCATCTTTGCATCTGGCAAGATGGTATTGTCCTTTCTAGCGATTGGTATAATTTGCTTTGTTCCAAGATTGTGTTGTTGTTTTTAACATGTGATTTACATGCGATTTACCCATTTTAACTGTTACAAGACTATATTGTGCTGGCCTTGATTTCATTTATTACAAGACTGTATTGTGCTGGCCTTGATTTCATTTATTATAAATGAGTTTGTGAATTAGATCAGGGGATGGGCCTCTATTGGGCATTAGTTATTTTGATGCTTGCAGAGTTAACATAGGTCTTGGTTTTTCTGATTGTAGCTGTTGAGTGTGCATATTTCTTACGCCATCTAAATCTAAATGGCATGATTAGGTTTGCACGGGTGCTAAAAGTGAGCAACAGTCTAAATTGGCAGCAAGGAAGGTATATGTTGTTCTTCTTTATCATCATTTAACACGTATATGTTATTGGTGGTTTTCAAGTAGAGCCCCATTAGCTTGGGGATCATTGCCCTTCAAGTTAATGGCAGTTTGGTTCTGCCTTTTCAGCTTATTCTTGCTATATTTGGATTAGAAGAAGCTCCTTTAATGTATCTAGGAGGGTTGATTGTTCGAATGTGATGATCAGTGACCATGTCTATTTCTTATAATCATTTTTTAGCAATTATTTGATAATGGTACTAGTGGGTCGAATTTAAGTATCATAACCCACTCGAGAGTAACTTTTTCCAATATAATTTTTTTCTTTCAGAGTTTTAATTTTGGAATTTGTTTAAAATATTGGAGTTCCTTTCACTCAACTCAATCATTGCTGGTTTGATCATATCTTTTTGATCGTGAAACACATTATTTTCTCAATTTCCCCTTCAAGTGGCAGTACTTTCTAAATTGTCTCTTCCCCCCTCTGACAGTATGCTCGCATTATCCAAAAGCTTGGTTTTGCCGCCAAATTCAAGGTGCAATTTAAACTATTATCTCTATTCTTCTTCATTGAACTATTTTCCTGTAGTTATTGAAAAAGGAAAAGGAGCTATTCTCTTGTGAAATTGTCATTCTGTGCTACAAATGATTTTTTTTTTTTTATCATGATTTAGGATTTTAAAATTCAAAACATTGTTGGCTCTTGTGACGTCAAGTTCCCCATACGGCTTGAGGGTCTTGCATATTCTCATGGTGCTTTCTCAAGTGTAAGTCCTGAAATGAACTTGTGTGCCTACTCAAAAGCGTCATCTTCAGTCCTGTCTTTATATTGACGGTGCTGATTTTCTGCTGTCACTAAAACTTCACTAATCTTCCTTTTCAACTGGTGGTTAGTATGAACCAGAGCTGTTTCCTGGTCTCATTTATAGAATGAAGCAGCCCAAGATAGTGCTTCTCATATTTGTCTCGGGCAAAATAGTGCTAACAGGAGCTAAGGTAATACCTTTGAAGCATTCTCATATTGTTCTATATTTTGTCTAAAATTGATATTGTCTTATTTCTATCTCTGTAGGTGAGGGATGAAATTTACACTGCCTTTGAGAACATCTATCCTGTACTCACTGAGTACAGGAAGAACCAGCAATGGTATGGACATGACTTCATCCACTAGCAAAGTCATGGAATTATAAATAATTGACATTGTTTTTGTATGTCGTACTGTTTGCTGTACTGATTTTCTTGTCCTTTTTGGATGCGATGCATAGAATGTCTGTTGTATATCATTGACTGATGTTAAGTTTCTGTGACATATATTGAAAGGACCACCGTGGGTGAGTCTTGTGAGGTGATTGCTTTCCCCTTTAATATATAGCTTGTCCTTCCCCTTGCTTTAGTTTGAATTCAGAAGATGAAGCTCATCCCATGGAAAGGCAAGGAGGCTACAGCCCTTAGCAGATTTCTATTGTTTTGACTTAAAACTGTGAACCTTTTCTTTTGATCATTCGATCGAATTCCTTATATCATGCTTTGTTTCATCGCAAACATCCCAAGAGAATGAAAACGACACAATGGCTCCTGTACTAAAGGTTTACTATTTGGCGACAAAGGATCATTAGAACAACGAATCTTCAACAATCCACGGAAACCCACAGCCCTACTAGATGCTTTGTGAACGTTCAAACCTGCACCGCATACACTGAATGCAGAAACCCTTGCTGAACACCAGCTTAGAATATTTATAAGAAATGCATAATTATTGTCGTCTCATGCATAAAATTCTATAACCTTTATCTTCCCTCTTTTTGTTTAGTTTTAGCATGGATTGCATATAGTTGTATATAGCTCTATTGTGGAAAAATACTGATATTTGTTATCACCGGTTAAGTCTAGCAATGATTTCAACAATGTTTTTTTCATTTTAGCCTTGTGCACTCAGCCGCTTTTTCCTCTTCATGTTGCCCGCTTTTGACGACTGACCTGTGTTCTTAGCCCTCTGTCATACGCCTTAATACAGCGGCTAATTTGTGACTAGCATTGCCTTTGCTAATGCTCCTGCTAATTTGTTTTACATTTGTTTGTTGATGCATTTCAGAATAAGCCAGCGGGTTGGATGAGTTTTCTATTCTTAACTCTGCAATTTCTTATATTGTGGTATGCTTGGGACAAGGCATATGCTTGTCATTAACGAGGTATCTCTTACTCTTATAATTACTGCTGCTATCATCACTTTCTCTTCCTTTTGACTTTTAATCGTGTTATTTTGATCCCTGTAGTGTCCCCAGTATGCACTATCGATAATCAATTTAAAGAATAAGAGCCTCATTTTGCATCTTCGGAATATCATTGATTGAATCTTGTTCCTTCCCATCTGAATATTAAAGGAGTCTACTTTTCTTAGTTGTTTCGGAGTGGAATGTGAAGAATCTTCTTTGCTACGACTTGTCATTTCTAACGGCTAGGTGTTTGGAAGGTGGCGGATCTTGCTAAACGGCTGTGATGGATTAGCCCCTCTTATCATCAATGGGGTCTCTTGGGGCCAGCATGAAGAAATTAACAATACTTCCTTACCTGTTGAGATGTTCTGCCAGACTGGTCGCAGAATTTGATGAAAAAATGATGTCACTTTTTTATGGACTTCTTGAAAATTGTTTTGAGCCAATTAATGTCTTAGGGGAAGTGGAAGATTCATTTCTCCCAAAACAAAAAGGGGAGAAAACCCAGGGAAGTGAAAGATGCTTAGTGGTTTGTAAAATTGTAGTCAGTTTGACGCTTGTAGAAGATCTATAGCAAACAAGACGTCTCAGTGGTTTCATTAATTAGATGCATTTGTTGCCTATTGTTACTGCTTTGTCTTTTAATTGTTGAAAAAAAAAATTCCCCTGAAAAAAACGTGTCGTCGTCTAAATACACATTCACGCGCGTATGAAATGTCTAGCTGTTTGGTTAAAACGGGCATGTGAAAATATTGAGAGTTTAACAGCCTAAGTCGGTGATTAAATGATCCGTTTAAATGCACAGTCGCGCGCGTCAAAATAAGTCAGATTGCTTTCCCGTTGTTGAGCTTATTCGTCTTTTAAATATTCGTTCTATTCATTTTTTAATGCGAGATATTTTTCAGAGGAGAGTAAATGATGCACTTAGGATCATTTTTACAGCGTTCTTTTAATAAATCAGTCTCATCATCTATCCAATCTTTGAAAATTATAAAAGTTTCTGATATTCAACAACTATTTATACAACTTTGAAACTAATTGTCATAAAGCATGGGTATCTTCATTTTTAAGCATACAAACGTCAGATTGCTTCTGGTTATGAACCATTATGAGACATAGTCCTGCGGTCACTACTCCAATAATTAATATTAAAAAATATACATATATAATTAATTTAGAATGTTAAAAAATTTAAATTAGTTATTTGTCTTAGACTTACATTTATATTAAGAATATCTTTAATACAAACATCATAATATGTACAATTAATAAGAATACTTTAAAAAAATAATTATAAATTTGAAAGATAAAATGAATTGAAATTTTATATTTTTGAGCAAATAAACTTCTTGTCAAACTAAATACCAATAGGAGAAAGGAGCAATACATACATGGATCAACTGATATGTAAGTCAAACGGCACAGATATTTACATAATTACTTTGCTAGCAATGAGCTACATTCTGACATCAAGCTTTGCAAGTTTAATTAGTCAGTGGTGATATTATATTGTACTATATTTTTATTGTAGAGGAGGACTACTTTCCATACACAAGCAAACGACCCTATGATGCCTGAAATATAAGGAGGGTCATCTAATCAAAGTACAAATAGGCAGTCTTGATTCAATTAGGTATTCTTCACTGACACTTGATTTTTCACTTTCTCAGTATGGAACAACAATGGATTCTATAAGTTCTTGAAGTGGAGCAAGCTCCTTCTTGTCAACCAGCCCAAATTCCTGCACAGACAGAGAATTTTTTATATCAAATTTCAACAAAATTGGACCATTAAAGAAACCTTGTAATCACTAAACATCCAAATGATGATAAATTCTTGCCGATCGATTAGCATTGCGTGCAATAAATAAAAGTTTCTGATAGCCCTAAAAAATCAAGGACGTGCTGAGACTGGAGTTAACCTCAAATCCTCAATTCCAAAGACAAAAAGATCACTTAAGCTTGTGTCAAAATACAAAAGAAAAAGAAAGAGAGAAAGATACTTGAGCACATCACATAATTATTCAGCCATAAAAATGAGACTTACACATGTAAAGAGTATAAAATGCTTGAAGCATGTTTTAAGGTGGGCCTCTTCTTTAAGGCTCACAATATTCTGAAAGTGTGAATAATATATGTGAGCGTACACACGGAACAATCGCTTGAATATTGTCTTCACAACATCATTGAAGTTGCGAGGAAATGGTGCGCCTGCAAAATTTGACTTGTTTCAACACATGGATGAAGATTACAAGAGTATATTATCTTATGAAAATAAATAGATATAACACTTTACCAAGCTTCTGTGGGAATATGGATTCATCATCAAGCTGTGACTCAATCCAGTTCATTAGATATTCTACATATCTTGGGGCCGAAACCTCAATAGGTTTCTTAATTTGTACACCATCTGCCCATCTATACTCATACCTGAAAGTTATCATACGAGAGGACAAGTGAGTTACATGCATTTACTATAATTTAGTGCAGGTGACCAATGTAACAATGGCTGAAGCAATAATCAGTATTCCACAATGACTTCAATGAGAAAGGTATATGTAAATGTAGTATTTTGAACTACTTCCAGTATGACCACTCCACAGTCAAAAGGTCACAGTTTGTTGAATCTTCTTGAACACCAGAACCATGAAATATATCAACCATCAACTTTGACCCCACTCTGAATATAATACTCAAGCTCTGATCTTTCTTTGTGCGAAACTAACCATATCTGTATGAGGGCTCAGCTTGCCCAACTAACTTAAAAAATTCAACGTTTATATCAATATATTAAATGGTGTCATGTGCAGATTCTAAGGAAATCATTAACAAGAATCTGCAACCTAAAACGTTGTGTACGGCCAAATATATGTATCTGCATGACATTGCAGGAAAATAGTGCCAGTAAAGGGATGTGAACACAACATAATCAAGGGAAATAAAGGCTTTAGCATCACATTGCAGAATCCATCATTTTATCCCCCAAAGAGGGTATTAACAATATGGACAAGAAATGCAAAATAACCAAGATATAACCAACTATTGATAAATTTCATACATCCATGTCCTCAATTATCATGAAATCTTAATTAAAAGCTGACAATAATAATTAAGCAAAGAAGCTTAGAGTCAAACTCTTCATGAGATGCCTATTTTCTTTTTAACAACTTACGGTAAAATTATATCAACTTGAAAACACAATCAGCTTAATTCAATTTCATTTTTACAGCTAACTCGCGGCCCCGGGGGGAATTGAGGGGAATGACTATTCAATCAACTGCATTTTTATAAGCAGACACTTTCTTAATTCAATTAAGCATGCCATACTTGGGTCCAGCAGACATTGTCGGGCAATTCTCAGGGGTACAAAACTCTGTAAGGGTGCCATAAAGGAGATTCACCTGGTTGAAGAAATCTACAGCTGCAATATGGACCATTAAAAAAAAAAAAAAAACTCAAATTATTGCATTTTGAAATTGAACAGGAACATGCTAGAGATAATTTTGGGGAAAACTGCAGAACGAGAGGCAATAAGAAATCACAATAACCAACAATTTAATGGCCTACTGTCAACAGAGCAAAAAAGAGAATGAGAATTACTATTGACAGCAAGCCACTCATTTAAATCCTCCCCAGGAGGTAGCTTCACTGCTTCGCTCAGATTTCCACTGCCTAATGTGGCATCAATGTGCTTTCTAAGCTGTGCTCCCTGAAACAAAACAAACAGAATAGTTAACATTATGATTACATTTGAACTCCCACCACCATAGCATAAAGCTTGAAGTTGATTGTATACTTTAGAAGTTGGGACACAACAACATCGGAAACCACAATACTGGATTTTCAAAATAAACCCAGTTATACAGTATTTCTGCAGGGCCATCATAGTAAATTCAAATATCTTGCTTATGCAATGGATATCCTCTTTCCGCATCTGAACAGACTCAAAATAGTCCCCATTCATATATTCATGATTTTATACTTCCTCTCTTTCTTATATTTCAAAATACATAAATTCTCCTTTCAATAAAAAAAAAAATATTTTCCAACAAAAAAGGAAGAAACTTCTGTTGTTGAGACTGAAGGAGTAATTTTTTCATCAGATGTTAGCCTGTTAGGTATGGTTGCCCAAGTAATTAAGGAAAGGCATTTAACTATATCCAATTAAATGCCCAATCAAAGAGATCCACAAAGTATGCTTCAATAGAAGAGACCAACCTTACTCCCCGAAGGTGCACTCTTTTTTGGGCGAAATGTTCTTTGGTTTCTGTTGCAGAAAGAATTGTCAAGGAGAACATTCCACAGAAGAATGGAAGATAAGCGATTCAAACTAAGCTCTATTAACATTCATTAAAGACTTTACACCAGTGACAGATGTACCAGGGTCTTGTTCAGACTTCAGAGCTATTGGATCCATTCCTCTTATACAAACATCATGTACTCATGCCACACATAAATACTACTATTGGGCGCAACTTATAAAGAGGAAAAATACCACTAGCTTCAAACTTCACATTTCATAATTTCCACTTGCCTTAAAATTACATGTTCAACACCTTTACCGCAACAGGGACAAAAATGCATTGATAAGGTAAACACGAGCATACTTCTCACCAGATTTTAATTTTTAAGTTTCGAAGAAACTGAGAAAAGCAAATTAGCAAACACATGACGTAGAAACTATTAGATGTTTAAAATTAATTGAATCCACAATAACTCAAAAACATCCTGATGATATGAAGTTGTTCATATTGAGCAGAAACCAAAATAGATCATATCGCAAAGCAAATCTTTCTTGAGAGGATTCATTAAATGCAGAATCAAAAGGCTAAGTTGGCGTAGATCACACGCGAGTGAAAAATCATGGTTGTTCAAAGAATAAATCTGAAAGATTTTTATCTCACCTGCCTATCCCCAAAAGGCTCATGGCTCAGGCGAGGAGGACACAGAGAGAGAGAGAGAGAGATAGCTCGTTGGCTTTGTCGTCCCTTCTACTGCTGCGTGTTGGACTGCAAAGCTCGTAAAGCGAAGTTGCCAACTTTTTTAACTTCTAATTATTTAGTATTTACACGATAACTCATGAAGACACCTCTATTTGTTGCTAGAGCCCCTGGACTGGATCTATATTATTTCAAAAGTAAACCCCGGGATTGCTGACGTGGTGGGATGAAGGACGTACAATTTCAACGGACGGAGACAGGCCGCGATTAACCCACAAATAAAAAAAAAGGCCGCCAGCCTGCCCAATAAGATTTTTTCCTCACAAGCAATATTAATTATTAATGTCAACCGGATAGGATCTAACAGAAGGAACTAGTTCCTCACAGCCTGATAAACCAAAATTCAAATTCCTGTTAGAAGAGATACCCACATTTAATACCCAACAGTGCCTCGAATAGGATCGCCTTCAATAAGAGGATACTTATGTTTTAGCAAAAAAAAAATTAATGTCCTTAATATAAAAACTTGTTTAGTTTTTATTTTAATCTTAAATATAAGATTTTTATTCACTTTATTTCTCATATTTATCTATTCTTACTTAAAGTAGTCTTTGTAATGATAGTAGTTCTAGCCAATACATTTTATTAGTAAAGATATTTTAGAAAAAACAACACTTATTTATTATAAATAGCTAACTTAACTAGTTTTGTCAACCTACCCAGATTAGTTAACTAACTTTTATACTGAGAACCCATAAACTTAACAACAAAACATTCGTAAATGATTGAATTTTATATGAGACTTTTCTTATGATTCACTATTTAATGCTACCTCTGGTTCTTAATATAAGATCCTATTTGACTTTTAGTTTGACCCTAATTATAAGACCCCAATCCATTTTGTCTCTCATATTTATGTATTTTTTTCAAGATAGTTCTTCTAATAATGATAGTTCTAGCCAATACACTTAATTAGCAGGGATATTTTAGGAATGACAACACTTATTTATTACAAATAACTAACTTAACTTACTTTCTCGATTTCTTTAAATTAATCAATTAGGTCTTATAATTAGGACCGAAGGTAATATTAATCAACTCAAGTTCCTTTTAAAGTATGACTAGCAGATTGTGTCCGTTATTGACTCATGAAAATATTCTTCGCATGTAAAAGAATTCTTTCTAAAGATAATACTCTTTTCGGTCCTAATTGTTTAGTCTTACATTTAAAATTGAAGGAATCCACCTGTCACCTCCTTTAGTTCTTTGAGATGATAAGATTTATTCAAAATGTGCTTATGACACAAGTTCATCCACTAAATCAATACTCCCTCCGTTCTTTATTATAAGAGACATTTGATACTTATGGCATGTTCCTATATATAAAAGACACTTAAAAGTTGTTTCTACTTTTTTATGTTGATTTTCTATTTTACCCATATTTATTTGTTTCAATTCACTCTCTCTCTCCCTCCCACTTCTCTTTCTTTTAATAATTTAATTGTTCTCTCTCCTTATTAATGAGGGCATTTTTGGGAAACAAATTATACTTTTTACACATTGATTGTTCTTAACTAATTTTAACTGCTTTTTTTATCAACGTAATTCGGTTATTCGTCTCTTATAATAAGGAACGGAGGGAGTATATAATTAAGAGGCTGGAGGAACATGATAGTCAGGGATTGGAAGGATCCAGACGAGACCTTTGATGAGAGGGATTGTTTGCTCAAATTTGTTGGTAATCTGATGATATTATTTTCCGCTTAATGAAAGCGGCTTCTTCTGATGTTAATGACTTTACTGAGAATTTTTTGGCATGACGGCTAAAATAATTTATAAACATATTTTATTTAAATTAAGATAAAATTCTTCTCATATATATTTATATTCAGTAAATTATGAGCTTATAAAACATTTCAAATAGGTCTGGGTTCTCTTTCTATTTTCCAAAGATAATTGGATTTGCTTATTATGGACTCAACTAATTATTTAGTGGAGATGCCTGAAAACGCCTCAAAAGGGACTCCCATGTTGATTGTGTAAAGGTTTCACGAAGAAGATTGGATATGCAAATATTATTGTATCTTTTCTTTCCCCCGAAAAAAAAAAAAAGATTTTCACAGGTCTCCTGAAATATTTTTTTAGAAACACTTTTTCACAAATTAAAATAAATTATTTTATATATTTACTTTTTATATTATAAAAATATTTTTAAAATCATAATTTTATTCTTATCTAAACACCTTTTGATGTTTCTTTTTCTGAAGTAGATGTGCAAAATATCTGGCTAGAGTATCCGGTTGGAAAAAAATTAACCCGGTTCGCCGTTGAACCGACCTTCGGTGCGGTGAGCGTCTCCTGTGGGAAAGGGACAAATAAAAATAGAAGTGCGAGAGGAAGGAAGCCAAGCAAGAAAAAAGATCTTTCAACCTCATCTCGCGGCTCCTTCTTGTTCGGCTACCTTCATCTACTCCAATCAATCATGGCCGCACTGCTTTCGTCTCTCTCACACTCCGAGGTAACGACCTCTCTCTTCTCTCTTTCTCTCAACTCATTTCTTTAGTTCTTGGTTTTTTTTTTTGGCTGGCTTCCTCGTTGAATCACTTTTCTTATGTGCCCAAACTTGCAAGCAGTAAGCGTAACAACGTACCACAAGAAGAACAAGGAGATCGAAATGAACTCTCCGCCGATGTGGACGGCGGTTCAGCCACCGTTCACGGTGGCGCAATGGCAGGAGCTTGAACACCAAGCTCTCATCTTTAAGTACCTCAAGGCTGGACTGGCCGTTCCCCTCGACCTCCTTATTCCCATTCGCAGGAGTCTCGATTTGATGCCGCCGCAGCTCGTTCATCACCCGTCTTGTAAGCCTTTAAACACCTAATTTTAAGTGCGGTGTTGTATATGAACTATGAAGCCACTGGCTTATATGTATTAGACATCATAGGCTCGATTTTTGAAGTATCTCGTTTGATTCCTCTTTTTTGTTTTTTTTCGCCTGATTCAGTGGGTTATTGCTCGTATTACGGGAAGAAGATCGACCCAGAGCCGGGGAGGTGTCGAAGGACGGATGGGAAGAAGTGGAGATGCTCGAGAGATGCGCATCCGGACTCCAAGTACTGTGAACGGCACATGATACGCCGTCGTTACCGTTCAAGAAAGCCTGTGGAATCGCAACAAGCTGCTTCGCAGTCTTCGTCCAATTCGGCATCGGACGTTGTTGCTGCTGGGAGCAGAAGTGGCTCTGGAAGCTTCCAGAGCTTGCCCTTGCACGGAAATGGTGCTCGTGAGGGTTTGAACCTTGGAAATAACGCATCACAGCATCAGCTACAATCTCTTCCCGGTGAGATTAGCAAGAAAGATTACAGGTATTTCCTTTTTTCTTTGCATCTTTTAATGGTTCAATCTGTTATGTCTAAAGTAACTTTTGATTGCGGTTAGTTGTTTTGCATACAAAGCTACCTTCTTTGATATACCTGTTACATGATTAACGGAGTAGCTGAAATACCTAGTTACCTAACATGTACAGGACCTGGAGTTTTTAAGTTTTGAGTTGCATGTTTTACAGCTTGGTTTGTCTAGTTGATGAGATGCATTTGAATGAGCTAGAATGATAACAGTTTTAATCAAGCCCTTTTTCTGATCTTGCTGTTAGGTTTATAACGTAAAATACTAGTTTCACCCTTGCCTTTTTCGAAGTCCTCTCGTCATGTTTTGGGGATAGTGTATCTGGGTTAAGTCTTGAGCTTCACTGTTTATGATGCTCACACTGAGTCCAAAAGTGATCATTGGGGACTGACCTTTCCCAGAACAGATTTGTGGTAAACTGTATTGTCCCATCTGCCAACAACTGATTGTAGTTTTCCTAATATAAATTTGATATCATGATTTGGCATTCTAGGTTTTTTTTTTCTTTTTAATTCAAAAGATGTGGTAGTTGTGATTTTGTTATTTGATCAACACACTGAAGAAAATGCCCGAGGATTCTACCTTTTCAAAGGGTGAAAAGGAATGCAGTATCAGGGGATGGCTGATAAATCAAAGTCTTAATGGAAGATCGTGTATTAATAAATTAAATTGCAGGAGGACTGCTGTTAATTTTTGATCCTATGGAAGCAAAACTCTGTACGTGAGTGGATTGTTTTAGGTTTGTCTCATTACATATTACTGGCGGTGAGATTCTGTTCTAAGTGATTTCAAAGCGTAATGGCTCTTATAGAAAAACTCAGTCCACACCTTTGATGCATCCTTTCTATTAAATTTGGGATATATTATTGGATATTATAGTGGATATGACTTTTCTTTTTATTTATCTGATATGGTTTTAATTTTTCTGGTCATCAATGAGCTGGCACAAAATCTTCCACAAGTACCTTACATAATTAAAATAGAATATACTTGAAAAATATAATATATTGAAATTGAAAGTCAGTATAAAAAAGAAGTATTTAGAGTTTTTAAGCGTGTCATAATTCCTCATCTGTGTCAGCAGAAGCCTGGGTCTCTACTGTGTCGATGTTTGAGAAATGCATTTAATGTAGGAGGCAAAAGCTTTTTGGTTTTAAATTTAGAAAATATTGATTTTTTTTTTGTTGGGGGGGGGGGTTTGATAAAGACGAATTTGGCAATTTGTGCTAAAACATGTTTCTTATTTTTTGGCAACTTAAGTATTTGATGTATGGCAGATACGAATTTTATGTTTCTAACCATAGAAGGATTACAATGCCATATGCAGAGCATAGCTCGTACAAAGTTTGTCTCTGGAAAGAGTCGATTAGGTCACATTAATAATAATTAATAGAATAGAGGCTGGCTTGAATTTTGGAGTCCATGGCTGGAACAATCCTAGAGCCTTTCGCCTTTGGCTTCATTCGGATGACTTGTTAGTGGGTTGGGATGCAATAGTGATGTGGTTTTGAGTTTAGGAGTTCCTTAGAAGATATAAGTAGCTTTTATTTTCTTCTTATCTTGCATAGCCTGGGGGAAAAAATAGAGCATACTGATGTTAACTGAGGACTCCACAGGTTTGGACTGAATTCTGAAGTAGACGAGCACAACTTCTTACAGAAAGGACTGGGAAGCACGAGTTATCTGGGTTTTGACTCTGCCTCGGACACCATGTGGCCTCATATCTCACGAGTTCCCTCAGATCTTGTCTCTGAGTCGAGAAATAGTTCTACTATTGTTAGCAGCTGCTTCCAGTTGGGGACCGGGCGGGATCCTGAGCCACTGAACATAAATGCTGCAAGATCAAAGCAAGATTTCTATGGTGATCAGCTTAGCTTGGCTGGGTGTTTGAAACAGGAATATCAGTCCCCACAGACGTTTTCAACCGACTGGCTCTGGAAGAACTCGAGCTCCCCATCTGTTGAGTATAGGCCCAATAAAGATTCTAGCTGTAACCCTGATGGCATGAATCCCTTTCAGTGACTGAGTGGAGGGAAATGTAAGGAGAGAAAGAGATGGTGAGTCGCACGCTTATCTTTTTCTTCACACTTTTCCTCCTGTGACTGGAAGGGATTTGGGTCGATGTTGATGTTGATGTTGATTATGGTGGATCTTTTATAGTTACTTGCAAGGAGTATGCTTGTCCTGTGCATATTGACTTTCCCGGAAGCAGACCTTTAAAATCACCTCACTACCTCCATCCCTTCCTTCCCTAACCAAAGGAAATCTATATAAATAAATAGAATTCTTCAGGAGGTGATATGTTATCATGGTTCTTTATGCAGATGCTTAGGGGAATTAAGGTTTAATTTCCGAGCACCAAATTTGTGGTACTCATTGTTGCACATGTATTTCAAGGAATTCTACTACTATTTTTATTTTTGGTTATATTTAAACTTAGAATATGATTGGGCTTTTGCTTTTACCATGATCTGCTATTGGCATCTCCTTTGACATAATGCTTAAATACAATGTTATTCTCGTTCTATCAACGTGGATTGTTCCCTGGCCGAACACTTGTGTTAACCAAATTCTCAAGTCTTGTAGTGTCGTACATATGTTGATATTCTTTTGACAGCAAACCTTTTGGACAGTCAATCACTGTACTGAAGATTGAATTGAGCGTCCCATTTTTCAGATGGGGAAGCTGCTTGTCCATTTTATTTGGTTAAATTCTTGTCCTATTTTTGTATAACCTCTTTGGAGAGCTACCGTTGCACAAGATTTCCATAGATTTTTTTTTTTTGGGGGCTTCGGTGAAAAGAAGATTTCCATAAAGAAGCTAAGAATGAAAAATGCTCAAATTTATCAAACACTGACAAAGATAGGAATATAGTTATGGACTTCTTCCTTTTCTTTTATGTTCTTTTTAGTAAATTGAATTTCGTTTAATCCTTATAAGTTATAAATGAGAAATCAATGTGGTTGTTGGTACATTAATGTGTTGGTTTAAAGTTTTATTTCAAGGCACAAGGGAAGCACTGCTGCATCATAAATACAATGGAATCTGGTCAAGCCTGCACGCTAAGCTTGACAGCTAGGGGTTTACTTAAATGGCTTCCTAAGGGCTCCTGGTGCCTATTGTAACTTTAGCTTTATGAATTATGAAGGACCTAACATTTAAAAAAAAAAAAGAAAGGAATTTCTGAAACCCAAAAAAAATTTAAAACCATGTAGAATCTCAGGTCTTACGGTATGGAGGGCGTTGTTCTTTCGTGTCGTGCCAAGCCATTAAAAAAATTATGAAAATTCGATATAGGATTTCCCCTTGTATAATTATCATTTGTGTTTTCTTCGATCACTTTACGTTCTTATATCCAAAGTGAGATCACCGACGCTCAAACTAAACCATCTACAAAATAAGTCAAGACGAGAGCATCAGCCAAAGGTTTTACCCGGAAAAAAATTTCTTCATTCTAAAATGGCATCTGCTCGGGTTTGAGTGTATAATTTGGTAGTTCCAATGATGTCAATTCCCACATGAAAATTTTAGGATGAAATAGGAAATCGGTGCGATGTTTCATTTGCAAAATTCACATTTACAAGTTTTTAAAGTAAGGTTTTTTCCAATTCAAGTAAAGAAATTACTTTTGCAGCAAAGTTTCTTATGAAATATACCCACTGCTGTTAAGGGGATTGTTAAGGAGAATCATCTTTTGACAAATATAATATACGCTCGAATTTCTCCCACAACAAGAGGGTGGAGACTTTTTTTTTTTGCCTGACCAAGAGGGTGGAGACATAGAGATGTGGTAAGTTACCCCAACAACTGAATCAACAAGAACCTTATGGTCCTGTCAGTACAAATCGATGGCTGTCCCAAGATATAATTCTCGAGTGGAGAAAGCTACCTCATTGTTTTGTATAGCTTAGCTATTCATCTTTTCCTGCAAATAAAAAGATGAAAATGCTTCAGTTTTGTTTACTACTGCAACTGCTGAACTTTTGCACGAAGAAAAGGAAAACAACCAAACATCAAATTAAGTGATAGGATGATACACCAAAAATAAAGGAGAAAATAATAAACCAGATAAGCAAGTTTCACTTTAGGAGTAACTGCAGAGGAATATAGAATACTTCTCATGACAACTAACGCTCGCCCTCAATTTGGAGGGTGGATGCCGATCATTCCAAGCTTACTATTCAAATCTTCAAACTTCATCCTAGGCAAAAGTTAGGTCAAGATGTCTGCAACCAACTTTCATGTGTGCGCGTGGAGCAAATCACTAATTACACATAAGGTTCTCTATAATGAAGTTCCAGTCGCGTTTCACATGTTTAGTCCCATTATTATAAAACGAACGTTCACCATTTTCATGATAGCATAACTTTCATAGGTTCTTTTATATGTATTCTAAGTTCTCCGAGAAGGTGTTTCAGCCGTAAGCCTTTACAAATAGCATGAAGACTGGGTTGTATATTCGGCCTTAACACTTTTTTGTAATAAAACAAACTATTTCTTGCCTATCCATGAAAGATCATCCTCTACATAGGTATAGTGCCCAATTATAGATCTCGTCTCTTGCAGAAGCCAACCCAATCATTTGCCTATACCTCAACAAGTCTCTCATTTCCTAAAGATTAAAGAATATAGCTAGCTTAGATATCGTCTTGAGATATCTTAGAATCTTGTACACAGACTCCACATGCTCTTCAGTAAGCCTATTCATTTATAGGCTAACAATACTACTAGGAAAGTAAATGTCAGTTCTAATACGGAACAATTAATGAGTTTCCCAACTGGCATTTAATATCTCTTAGTATCAACAAGAGGACTACCCCACTTGAAACACAGCCTGTATGTAGTTCCTATTGTGTTCATCGCCATGGTCAGCATCTACAGGACGAAATTTGATAATATTGCACTTGGCTGCAACAGGTGAAGGTATATTGACAATCAAATCCTTTGAGAATCCTTAGTATGGTCTCATGGTGGTTTATGTTTCATGTGTCAATTTGTGCTGTACTTTTTAGTGAAAATCTTGCTTACAACCTATTGCCAGTGAAAAAATTAGTCAAACAATTGGGGTCCTTTGCCAGTTTACTAATTTAAAACAGATTGCAGCTTAGCTAACGAACCAACAAAGTATTATTGAAGTTTCCGACAAATGAAGCAACCCATGAACAACGTAACACCCTGACCAATCTTTGGAAACATCAGCAGTTTTACACGTCAGCTCATAAAACATTAAAGGAAAAATTTCCAGGCAAGAGGAGGTAGAGTAGTACTAGTGGTCTATGGACTTTGGGGTGCAAGGCTATTAATGGGTTACCTGTAGACTGAGCACAACGAGAACGCAACAACGTCAATTTTAGATGTTGCTAGAGTCTATTTGTCCAAAATTCTGACTAGTTCTCACAAAGCTAATACTTTCTTTACATCTAAGAAACTCGTTTCCTTGAGTAAGTTCTTTTACTTGCATCCACACTCATCACAATCTCTCTTTTCACACTGACCACTTCTATGATCTTGCTTGTCCCCCATTAAGTACTACATACTTCTTTCGTTGTAACAATGTGCACGTCAGGACTTTCAGAATTTTTTCAATTTTAGTCATTTAGAATGAGCATCTTTTGCTACTACAGGCTGAAGATCAGGGACATCATAAGCACTGCAAGCACCGGGTGTGAGTTTATTTCTACTTTCTTCCTTTTTAACTTCAAAAAATACCTCCTCGAGAGTAGGTAACGGATCCAGACTCAGGATGTAATGTCTAATTTTCTCAAAGATTGGGTTGAGGCCAATCAAGAATTTATACACTCTCTTTCTTCTTTGAGTGTGTTGAAATGCTGGGCATCAGTTTCACAGTACCATTGATGAATCTCGTAAAGATCCAGTAGTTGCCAATGTCTTACAAGTACATTATAATATTGGGTTACATCTAGGTTGCCTTGCCTGAAATCATGGAGAAAGCACTCTGTGTCAAATAGGATTGCTTTATTGTTACTGAAGAAGAAGGATGTCCTTTCTCCTGTCCACACATCATGGGCAATTTTGTACAGCAACAAATTCTTCCCAATCTCTCTAGTCAGTGCATCGGTAAACCAAGATTGCACCAAGCTGTTTTCAGCCTCCCAGGTAGCATATTTCGGATTATCAACACTAGACAGAGCAGCAGATCTGGTAAGCCCATTTGCCTGCCTCTGTCATGAGCAGACAACATCAGGCTTGATAACCACTGGAAGTAGTTGTGGCCAGTTATGCAGTATGGTGAGATAAGAACCAGAGCTGGTTTTTGGATGCTGAAGGGGGCTCTTTGCAGAAGGTGTGCTGCATAGTGGCAGATGAGGTTCCGGTCACAGTACTCTGACTATCAAGACCTTCAACAATTAAGCCACAACCAAATGAATCATGGCTGGATCAGACTTTTCTCTGATATCATGAAGGAAACGAGAAAAAAAAATAGAGATGGAAGAAACACCAGAGAAGAGCACTAGCACTGCATCTGGCTCTTATTCCTATATGACGTAATTTGAGAAGACAATCGAAATACATCAGGAATGAAACGAATACATACAGGAAAATAATCGAAAAAAACAAGCGTCCCACTAAATGAGCAACTTAAAACAAACATAAAGGATAGTGCAAACTGAAATTGTTTCTATAACAAACCAGATAAATGCATAAGGCTGGATTTTTCCTAAAATTTTTTTCCTCAATATGCCTAAAATACATAATCTAATCATGTTGGGGGGAATCGACTCCCATATCACTAGATGATGTTAGTGTTTTCTGAAAACTGTACTTTTTTGGGGATGAAGGGATATGCGTGTAAGATGAACTGGATCTTCTCTACATCATCAACCCATAAATTCAACATTTACATGAAAGGAAGATTTTCATTTAAAGGATTATTTTGAAGGATCAGCATTGATGAAATTTTACTTACTCTAGCTTGCAAATGGATGAATGAATATCGTACCAAAGGGAAATTACTGGACTTAGGAAACAAAATTATTTATGTCCGACCAAAATGGTATAAGCTCAACAAAAGAAACTAATAAAGAAAAGGAGAGGGAAACAATACAAGAGGAATCATACAAGTAAATGTCAATTAATCAATACAAAACAGAGAGAAATGATTGTCAATAATACCTCTGTGAGAGTTGAACAACCGAGTATTCAATGCTCGACAACTTTCACAAGCAGACGTAGCAAGCGATGGCAGGCTATTTTTCATCTCAAAAAAATCAGCGCCCTTGACTGACAAATGCTGTTGCCCAAAGTTAGAGAATCTCTCGCTTGCTTCTCTTTGCAGCTCGGAAAGAGGAGGTGCAATTCCCGTCCAGTCATTGCCAGCAAAATGTTTTTTAGAAAGAAGACTACTTGACCCTACCAACTTCAACGCCGCGCCTCTTGTTGCCATAGTAGCTGGATTCCAAATAAACATGTCCAAGGGTTAAAGAACAGAAATATTAAATTGGGAGAACGACAACTAAGGATTATAAATTTGCGGTGTAAAGACACTTCGGAATTGCATAGTACACCATCATTATTTCTCAGGTGTATTATTAGATGTAAGGAATTATACAAGATGCTTTTGATTCGCAGTTCAGTAATCTAGTGTCTAATATGCATTTTGTCAACAAAGATATTAGAAGACATAGGATTGAATTGTATTGGATGATATCTTAAACTTTACAAAAGCCAAGATACCAGGAAAGGTAAGATAACAATAAACCATACAACTTCTGTATATGTTTTGCAAATACGTTTGATGACTGTAGAAGCTTCAAAATTTTGAACAATTCTATGAGTGAAGTAGTTTGAGAATATAAAGGGTTACCACGATAAGGAACTTGAAAGAGAAAGTTGACTGGAAAGCCAACACCCAGGCCAGCCAGAGTGAATCCAACACTAAATCCAATGCCACAACCAGCTCCAACATAGCCGATGGCTTCAGGGCCAAAACCAGGACCCCAACCAATGCCACAACCTATGCCCACGCCCATCCCCCAAAATGCCCCATAAGTTGGATGCACTGGGTTCCATCTTCTATACCTTTCGACCAACCCTTTCATAGTCCTACGGAATTTAGGACCTATAAATAGAGATAATTGAGAAACCGTATCATAAATAAACATCAAAATTTATCTCTATATTCTAGGTCTTTAACTAAGGGCCTAATATAGCAATTAACACATAGATCAACCAAGGAAAGAGAGCTTGCAGATTCTGATTCTGAGTCCGCGACTACAGAATTCCCCTCATTTATAACAATGTGTTCTGCATCCAAAGCACATAATAAAAACTAGAAGTAGATTCCCATGGCGGAGAAATACAAGGCAAATAGGATCATCGTTAATTATTCTTTTACACTTATTTTAAAAAATTATTTTTTAAATTTAAAGATATATTTCTGTTATAATAATTATTTTTAAAAAGGATATCCTCTTTTCTTCTAATAAAACGATAGTTTTTCGACCAAAAAACAAAAATTAATAAACGATAGTGTTATGGACACTAGCTTCCCCCTCTTAGTAGCATTTTTAACAACTTTAATCAGCCCAGCTTCGTTCTCCTTCTTCAAGTGGAAAAATGAAGCTACTCAAAATGCCCCTGAAGAATATGAAATGACAAAAACCATTGAGGCCAAAAACCAAAAAAAACAAAACAAAAACCATGAAGAATCATGGTAATCTATCTTGCTGTATGAGAGCTGGAAGATCGGTAGAACAAAAGCAAAGATGTCTCGAGGTTTCACACAATGAACAGTTAGAGCAACCTGATCGTGTAAAGAAGGAAGGTGATGAGAATGAAGCTAAAGCCATAATCATAACTATCGCGTTCCCATTTACCATAAAATTCTGCTTTGAAATGGAATCACTGCGCCGAGTTTTCATTCGCACGGAGCAGAGAAAGCTTCGAATTGAACTTATTGGCCTCTTGCTTTTTGTGCTTCGTACAGAGACGATCATAGCCAACAACGCATTTGAAATGTATATTTCCCCGCACATCGCCATCTACAGCGACCCGGCCGACCGCTGCAATTGGATGTGGTTCCAACGAAGAAACTGCGCTTGATTTAAATACACACAATTTTTTAAGGCTTTTTTTTTTTTTGGGACAAAGAAAAGTGTGTACACACGCGCGCGCACAACCAGGATGCGGTTGTAATTTGTAGAGAGAATCTGAGCTTCGCAATTCATTTTTTATTACTTCATTTCAAAAAGTGAGTATAAAGGAATATTAACTTATCTTTAAAAAAAAATTAATAAGCATTTACTAATTAATCAAAATTTAAAAAAATGGAGCAAATACAAGTATACTACAACAATTAAGCTTATCCTACCGTATGGGATTTGATACATGAATCATACCGTCTCTATTCTCTCTCAACAACTAAAATTTTTGAATAAATTGTTAACTAAAATGTCACATTTAGTAAGTTTATTAAATACTTTTTATTTTTTATTTTTCTAAAAAGAATTCATATTATGTGTTTTACTCTTCTCAACCATACCTCCAACAATTCTTTTTATAGATGCTTAAACTACAATCTTCTACAATTGTCTATGCAATAGTAGCCGCACCTACTCTTCCTCTTATATAATCATTTTAAATATTAACATTTTAATATAATCATATATCCATTTCAATATTTTCGTATAACAGAAAAATAAAATAGGATTTCAAAAAAAAAAGGGGGAAAATAAAAATATTTAAAAAGGTGAAAATGTAATTTTTATTGGAAGAATGGGATTTCAATTTTTGTTTGGTAAAAAGTCTAATCTGGTCCTCACGATTTCGTGGCTGGAATTCTCTCTTCAATCGGGAAACTAAACCGGACAAGAGTGGTCTTGCTCTGGCATTTTCTGCACAAAAAGTAATTAATTGATTATAACTAATTTTATATAAATTCCTCTTACCATAGAATTAATTCAATAATATTGCAGGCATAAAAATTCAACACTGGTAAATAGAAAACTACTTGTGCTTGTGTAATGTTAAAACAGCAGACGTCGACGTTTCACGATGTGAGGTATACCGGGATGCATTTTAGGAGGGAATCAAAAACCATATCAAAACCTTATCCTTTGGGTGATCTCTGCCAACTTCATCGCCATCCTTGTGTGTTCAGTAGCATTTTAACACAGCTTCTCCTCTCATGCCTTCTCTTCCCTTCATGTTCGCCTGACAACGCCTTCCAGTGAAGCCTATGGCCGCACCTGCATCTGCATCAACATTTTCCAATCCACACTTGCTTCACAAGGTTTCCGTTACAGACGAGATTTTAGCTTTCATTTCCGGTTTTATTTCTAAATTTAGCGGTTAGGTTTTGTTTCGATCGTTTGATTCTGTTTGTGATTCTCTCCAGGAAGTTATCAATCAATACGAAATCAATGTGAAGCCGCAATTCCCGATTCAAAAGCGGGAATCATCTCGATTCTCACGCTTCACACCGCTATGCGCTACCTTGAGGAGCTCGAAAGGATTCGGACCTTCTCCGAAGAAGAGCAAGAAGAAGAACAAGCTGAAGAAAAGAGGCTCCGACGACGACGACGATAACGACGAGGAGGAAGAAGAACTGACGAGAGATCAAGGTGTGATACCTGAAGTTGTAACCAACAGGATGATAAGCAGGATGGGATTCTCAGTGGGGATTCCTCTGGCAATAGGGCTAATGTTCTTCCCCTTCTTTTATTATCTCAAGGTTGGTTTGAAGATTGATGTGCCCAATTGGGTGCCCTTCATCGTGTCCTTCTTCTTCTTTGGGTCTGCACTGTTGGGAGTGAGCTATGGGATTGTATCCTCCAGCTGGGACCCACTTAGAGAGGGCTCACTTTGGGCTGGGCTGGAATGAGGCCCAAAAGAATTGGCCTGTCTTTTGGCAATCCATTTGGGGTGGATCTAATACGAAGGGAAAGTAGCCTTGTTATTATCTTTTCCCTCATGTGCCTCTTTTTCGTTACGCTTCATTGAAGTTGGGTCAATGTAATCTGCTTTCTAGGAGGAAGCCGTCTGTTATACCATTACTTCAATTTCATGTCATGATACTAGGGATTTGGCTCCTGATAATACAGATAAATATGGGGGGAAAGGTCTAATGGATGAAAAGAGAGACAGCTCAAACGCAATAACAGTCGTTCCTCTCCACTTGGATGAGTCATGTTTAAATCTATCCGATCGAAAAGGTGTAATTGGATCCCTTAAAGTGCCAAAACAGGAAAAACTGGTCAAGTAGGAAAAACTCGATTCTTTTTAAACAAAATTGAAGGTTCAAGTGCAAGTGCCGTGGACGGACCTAATCAAGTTTGATGTAATATCGAATATAAAAAAAATCACATTGCAATAGGTATCTTAAGCTAATCTTTTTTTGACCAGCGTATCTTAAGCTAAACTCAGTAATACCCAAATCATATATATATATCGGATGTTAAACAACTGTATTTTGCGAAAAGAAGTTTGGTGCAAAGTATGGAGCGATTACATCTTCGTCCCTTGATCAGATATGAAACAAAAAAAATATTCGTATCTATAAATGAAATATAATATTAAATGAAAAGAAGAATTTTTTTAATCAGAATTTAAACGCAACAAATAGAACAAGAAACAAAAGGGATCCAAATTGGTCAAGACAATAATTCGTGAATTTTTGGATTAAGTAAACTGGTTGGATATAACTGTCATATTCATGATTAAAATAAGGATTTATTTTGTTAGTCCTTATAGTTTGATCAAATTTAATTTTAGCCGTGATATTTTTAATCATTAGTTTTTATCCCTATAATTTCATAATTTTTTATACAAGTTTAGCAAATGATTTCCATACTCACTGAATTTTAGTTCTGATTCTTATAATTAAACTCACACCAAATCCTTATAAAGTTATAAGGATCAAACTAACAATTTGAAGTAGTAGGAGCTAAATTAACATTAAATCAAACAGTAAGTTACCAACAATTAAACTAGCTCTTAAAATAATAGCAATATTGGTATGTAAACAAGTTGCCTTGAGAGCTTGTTTGGTGTGAAAGAAAAGGAGGGGAGGGAAAGAAAAAATTTAATAAGTTTGATTTAAAAATTTGAAGAAATGGAGTCTTAAAATTTTAATAAAGATAAGATATAATATAAAAAATAATAAAAATTAATTAAAAAATTTTAATCCTATTTTTTTAATTTTCTAAATGAAACTGATTGAAATTTTTTCTCACTTCTCTTTTTTTCTTTTTTTCTCATGTCTAACTGACCTTTAGAAAATGGAGGATTGTGAGAGCATGGGAGAGAGAACACGTGTTGTTGGGCAGTCGCATGGATAGGGGTCCGTGTCGCTTTCCTCCACCTGTAAACTGGATCTCCGTGTGTGTGTGTGTGTGTGTGTGTGTGATAAATGATGAGCAAGCAGCTCGGCACAACGCTTTGCAAATTTTCACCACTTTGCTTTAACCTTCCATTCCAATAGCGCCCAACTCAGTTTGTTTTTTGTAGCCCCGACAAAGAGAATCCCCAGTAGAAGAAAGGAGGAGGCACCTATTTTTTCTAAATTGTATGGAAACCCAATATATAACCAAAAAAATTATAAAAATAATTTTCTTAAAAACTATTTAATATTTTTAAATTTAAGGTAAAGGGTTAGTCTATAAATTAAGTAAAAATGTGATTTGACCAAAATTAAAAAAAAGGATATACGAATTTTCATTTCTATCAAAAGCATGCATAGCATTAGCATGTAGTTTACTAAAGAAAAAAGTTCGCATTGAACATATATTGAAAAGAACTGTCCAGCTACATGCTCTTCTAATTTTCACTCCTTTTTTTTTTTCCCCTTTCTCTTTACTGAGATTCCTATCCTAATCATGAAGAATCAAAACAAACCGAATATTCCTATTACCCACATTTTCTTTAATTTCCATTTCCCTCCCTGCTTAGTCCTCGGCCCCCGCCCATGACAAGTACTTCGTACCAAAGCTTTCACTCCTTCATCCATCCTGCTACAACTTTTATTTGTCTCCCCTTTGCATTTTTTTTTCTCCCTTTCAAACTCACCATCATCGTCAAAATTTTTGTTACAAAAATTGAGTACTTTAATTAATTCTTCTAGATGCTGGCCAAAAAGAAATTGTTCTAGATTGAAATTTCTGAAAAATATGCTGTAGCTTGTGTATCACACAGATTTTAAAATATAAACCTAAAAAATAATTTTTAGTCTCCAAAGCATAGCTAACTTATGAAGATTTTAAAGTTTTTATTGAAGAATCAATTCTTGAGGTGTGTGTTCATTTTTTTTAAATCAAAATCTTCAAAATAAATCAACAACACGTCATTTTAAATATCTAAACTGAATTTCGCCATAATTCTAAATTCTGATCTCTTAATTAAAAAAAACCATAAGAACATTAACTTAAATTAACCGGAACTCGCGGATTAAAACGGTATTTTTGCACATATAAATTAGACTATTTATATTTATAATTTATAAACAACATGTTGTTTATATATTGGGTTGCATGCACCATCTCTACATGGTCGAAACGAATTTAAATTCCGAGGGAGGGGAAAGTGGTAAGTACGATAACGAGGATTTAGGGGGTTAATGATTAGGATGTTCCCTTAAGGATGAGCAAATCCGCCCAACTATGCCTTTTTTTGGGTTACACTATTGAAGGGACCACACCACAATGCTAAGACATGAGTACACTAGCAGACGCCAATATTTCTCGACTTAAACTCCCAACGCTCACCTGACCCAACATACTCAATATGCCCCCATTTTTAAATTAATATACGTGCATAGTAAATTCCACCTTACATCCATTATTTTTTTCATTTAAACTAGATTTTTTTAAGTACAATTTAAACATACACGCACACGTTAATCTTAACATCATGTTCA